GATCCTTTCCCCACGTGGTCTCACCCAAGATGGCGGCTCCTGGAGCAGCCGAGCGTCCTGAACTAGAAAGCAATAGATTTCTTTCTTCTGCCACAAATTCCCCCAGCTGTGAGCCTTCCAACCTTCTAAGTATTCCTTTATATGCGGTTCAGAGTTCTGGGACCACCCCCCCTGAACCTGCTTGGTTGGGTATTCTGTATTGTTGGTGGAGCTCTCTGCTATATGTCCACCCGATCCGCCATCTTGTTTGTTCCACCCATAAACCTATTTTTGTCTCCATAGATTTCCCTGTTCTGGACTTAACATATCAATGAAATCATACATATGGTCTTTTATGACTGGCTTCTGTCACTTAGCCTGACCTCCAGGTTCATTCACATTATAGCATGTAGCAGTATTGCATGCCTTTTCATGTCTGGACAATACTCACATTGTAGAAATATATCACATTTTGTTTATCCATTTGTGAGGGCCTATGTTTCATTTTCTGTTATTTATTTTTAAAATTTATTATCTAAGCAATACGTATCCTTGATGGACAAACTATAAAATAGATACTAAAAAAACAATGGCGTCTTGGTGTGGCGCTGTAGGATAAGGACTGGACCACAAGGTCAGTTTGAACTGGAAGGCTGGCGGTTCAAGCTCACCAGCCGCTCCCTCTAAACCCTTTACAGGGTTGCTGTGAGTTGGAACTGACTCAACTGCACTTAACAACAATAAGATAAGAATTTTAAAAAATTTTAAACCTTTGATCTCAATCAGCCAAGAAAAATTTTTGTTAGCCTTTGCTCCCAGACCTTTTCAGTAATAAAATAACCCTATTGCTGTTGAGTAAATTCTGACTCCTAGTGGTCCTATAGAACTGATTAGATAGAGTTTAATGCTGAAAGCTTTATGGAAGCAGACTGCTACATTTTTCTCCTATGGAGGTGATGCTGGTTTCAAACCACTGACCTTTAGGTTAACAGCGAAGCGCTTAACCTCAGTGCTACTGGGCCTCCTCCTCTGGTAATAAAGGGTACCAGGAACTTAAGTGCACACCTGAGTTGGATATGCATATGCCTGGAATCCTCAGATTAATTGTTGTTTTCGTTAAGTGTCGTCGAGTCAGTTCTGACCCATAGTGACCAAGGAGCTTGAACCACTGACCTTGCAGTTCAAACTGACTTTGCAGTCCAGTGCATTAACCTACAGTGTCACACCATCAAATCACCCTCAGAAAAAAGAAGCAGAGGATCAGAGAGATCACACAGTTAAGAAATGGCAGCAGCAAGGAGTTGAGCCCCATGGCCTGGAACCCAGGGCCATATGTCCTACCTCTTATCCCACTCACAGTCCCTCTCAGCAGGGTTGGCGACTGAGGCATGGCAGCTGACCAGGGCCCTGGCGTTTTCAGCAGAGACGGCTGTTCTTGTGAATGCACAGTGTAATGATAGTGGTGAAAGTAGGTACAGTTAGTGGGTGCCTGTGAGGTGCTTCAGGAAGGCAGCCCTTTACAGAAGTCACCTCTGCTAAACCTCAGAGCAAAACCACTTTACAGATAAGAAAACCAATTAAGGAAATAGACTTAGTGGTTTCCTCATGCCTCAAGGAACTCAGGTTGGATGCCCAGGAATTGTTATCAAAATGAAATAAACCCTTAATACTTGTCTAAGCCTGAGGTCCTGGTAGTGGCCATGCTGACGCTGGAGCTTACCCTAGACCACCTGTTCCAATCCACCAGGTACACTTCCATTCTATCCCTGCCCCGCCTGAAACCCTATGAGGCCGGCCGCTATGCTTTTCTGGCCAGAAACGAGGAAGGCTGGAAAAATCTGACCTTCGAACTTACCCTTCTATGTGAGTGATGGGGTGGAAATGGGGGCCTGGATCCCCAGCACTGATTAAAGAGATGGATGGGCTTGACCAAGGGAGGGGGTACTGGCAGGGCTGGGACGAGCAGGCTCATCCCTCAGTGAGGGATGGTGGGGTGAGGACTGAACCTCTAGTCTGATCCCTTACTCTTCTGCACCTCCTTTCCTCCTCAGACCCCCCAGAGGCAAGGGTCATGTGGACCTCCATCAATGGCTCTGGTGCCCTGGTCTGTTATGCCACGGGGTACCCACAGCCCAATGTGACTTGGCTACAGTGCCAGGACCAAACTGACAGGTGAGTGGGGTCAGCCCTCCTTCTTCACCTGACCACAGAGAGTGGGGCGGGGCTGGGCACTCCATTCATGGGAGGGGCACCTCACAGCTCTGAGCCACACTCTGCCTGTCCCAGATGTAATAAGGTCCAGAAGCTGGTCTTGGAGGACACACACCCTGAAGTTCTAAGACAGGAGCCCTTCGACAAGGTGACCATCCGGAGCCTGCTGATGGTTGGAGTCCTAGAACACAACACCACCTATGAGTGCAGGGCCCACAGCTGGGTGGGGAACGACTCCCACTTCTGGCCCTTCTCTGTCCGTGAGTCTTTTCCCGCTCCCCTGCAGACTAGGATGGGAGGGAGTCCAGGGCCAGATGTCCAATTGGAGCAAGTCCAAATTCTACCTCTCCGGACCCCACGCTAGGCCCCTGCTGCCCACCAGTCTCCTGAGGCAGCAAGATGGGGACATGTGGCTCTGTGGGCTACACTATGGGGGAGACATGGGAGCAGACATGGGTCCAGAGCAAAGGTGGCCTGAAGCAAACACAGTTTAACCTGGCCACCTGGGTTCATATTCCTGCATCTTCATTAATTCCTTCAAAATGTGTACTTGGCAGCCACTGTGTGCCAGCCTCATGCCAGGTTGGGGATCTTGTGTCTTCATGGAAATTGGAGTCTGATCAGGGAGATGGACAATGAGCAAGTACACGCAGCAGCCCTCTCATTAGGCCCCTCCACCTCCCCGTAGTCTCCTTCCCACTAAGGACTGCTGCTCATGAGACTGCATCTGCCCGGAGGAAGGGGCGCCTGTTTCTGTTTTGCAAAAAGATTCTTGATGGTTAGTTCTCTGTCTGGTTCTGAGAGGCCACAGCTGCAGAGAACTGCAGTATCCTCATGCCTTTAACAAACACCCACTGGGGCCAGACCCCAGCGAGGCTGCGAGGCTCTCTGAGTCCAGAGAGGCAGAAAGGGTCTCTGGCCTCAGCCTGGCCCAAAGGTGGTCACTCCTGTGTCTTAGCTTCTGGCCTTGGAGCACCTAAGTCCAGGTCTGATCCTGCACACAGTTGGCTGTGGCTGCTGATATGCTAACATAGTGCAGCCAGCCTGCTATTGGTGCTTTTGTCCCTGCCAGGCATTGTGCATTCTCTCAATTAGCTCTCACAGCCCTAGAATAGAAATGTGATTTTTTTTTCTTCCCATTTTGGGGATGATATGCTTGATACTTAAGGAGAAGTCACAGACTAGATGTTTCACAGCTTCTGCTGTCTTAGTGTCTTATTGCTGCTGTTAGAGAAATGCCACCAGCAGGCGATTCTAAGTAACAGAGATGGATTTTCTCACAGTTCAGAAGACTAGGGTCAGAATTCAGGGTACCAAGTCTAGGGGCGGGCTCTAGCTCTGCTCTGAGGCAAGGTCTCTTTTAGTTTCTGTAGACCCGGCCTGCCTTGATTCCTATGTGATTTCCACAAGGCAGGTGTCTGTTCTCTATTTGTGCTTGTGTCTCCATGTCTAACCCTCCTCAGTTTAGATCTCAGAAATGAGTATGGCCTCGTTTACCTAACAAAGAAAATCCTATTCCCAAATGGGATCGGATCCACAGGTATGGAGGTTAGGATTCCAACATATATCCTGGGTGTGTGTGTGTGTGTGCATAATTCAATCCATAGCACTCCTAAGTGGCAGAGTTGAGATTTGACCTCAGACCCAAGCTCTTGACCCAGGAATTGTTGTGTATCAATTCGGACTCACAGTGATCCCATAGGACAAAGTAGGACAGCTCCTGCAGGCTTTCTTAGGCTGTGGTTATAATTTAGGAGAGGAGATTGCAAGGTCTTTCCTCCCAGGAGCGGTTGGTGGATTCCAACTGCCGACCTTTCAGTTATCAGCTGAGTACTCAACTGTTGCACCACTAGGGCTCTTTCTTGATCTGGGTTGTTGTTGTCGCTAGGTACTGACAAGTTGGTTCCTACTCAGAGTGTGAAACACTGCCCGGTCCTGCTTCATCCTCACAATTGTTACACGTGAGTCCATTGCTGCTGCCACTGTACCAACCCATCTAATTGAGGGTCTTCCTCTTTTTTTCTGGCCTTCCAGTTTACCAAGCATGATGCCCTTCTCCAGGGACTGGTCCCTTCTGATATGTCTGAAGTAAGAGAGACAAAGGATGGCAATCCATCCTTGCTACTAAGGAGTATTCTGTATGTACTTCTTTTAACACAGATTTATTTGTTTTTCTATCAGTTCCTGGTGCTTTCAGTATTCTTCTCCAACACCATAGCTTAAATGCATCAATTCTTTTATTACTGTCCTTAGTTATTGTACAACGTTCACTTGCATATGAGGCTATTGAAAATAACATGACTTGGGTCAGACACATCTTAGTCTTCAAATGACTACCTTTGTTTTGAACACTTCAAAGAGGTCTTGTGCAGCAAATTTGCTTAATGCAATGTTATTTGATTTCTTGACTGCTGCTTCCATGTGTGTTAATGGTGGATCCAACCAAGATGAAACCTTTGACAACTTCAATCATTTCCTCCATTTATTATGATGTTATTTATTTGTCCAGATGTGAGGATTTTTGTTTTCTTTACATTAAGGTACAATCCATATACAGATCTTCATCACTAAGTATTTTCAGTCTTCTACACTTTCAGCAAGCAAGGTTGTATCATCTGCTTATGTCAGGTTGTTAATGATTCTTCCTCCAGTTCTGGTACCAAGTTCTTCTTCATATAATCCAGTTTCTCAGATGATTTGCTCAGCATATAGACTGAATAAGTACCATGAAAGACTACAACCCTGGCATATATCTTTCCTGATTTTTAACTATTCAGGATCCCCTGGTTCAGTTTGAAAGACTGCCTCTTGGTGTGTATATAGTTTTCTCATGAACATGATTAAGTGTTCCAGAATATTCATTCTCTGCAATGTTGTCTATAGCTTGTCATGATCCACACAGTTGAAAGCCTATGTATAGTCGATAAAGCACAGGTAAACATCTTTCTGGTATTACTCTGCTTTCAGCCAAGATCTATCTGACATCAGCAATGATATCTCTCATGATCTGGGTAAAGGAACAGAACTTTATTTAGTCTTTTAAGCCACTTAAGAGAACTAAAGCTATGATCCAGGGAAGAGGAGACCCAGGGGCCAGGAACCCAGCTTGCAGACCCTGTGAAGGGCTAGGTGGTCCCAAAGGGCACATGGGGAAGATGCAGGATAAACACTGGGGAGACAGGTCTTAGGCCACCCTCCTGTAGGAGGTCTTTCTGAGCCAGCTGCCCAGAGTTGTAGGAAGTGAAGAGTCCTGTTCCTCCCACTCACCGTGTCACTAGGCCAAGATGCTGTAGGGGGGTTCCTTGTACTGGCAATTGGGGCTGCATGACCTCAGGTGTACCTCTCACCAACTACAAGAGGCTGTGATTTAGGGCAGGGCTTGGGGCTAGGGACCAGCAGAACGGGGAGGACTCCTGTCTGAAGGAAATGTTCACTTAGGTTCCAGGAGCTTCCTGCTGACAGGAGACTTCATTCAGTCAGTGAGCATGATTGAACACCTACTGCAGTCTTTATTGAGCATGCTCCCTGCCTGCTCACTGCTTTGCCCTGTCCCTTCCAGGTGCCAGTAAGCAACTCCTTGAGGAGCCCCTCTTCACACCGGTGCTGGTTGCCTGCATGTCCAGCATGGCCTTACTGCTCCTGCTGCTTTTACTCCTCCTGTACAAGTACAAGCAGGTAAGCCGGGTGGCCTCATGGGCAGGGGCTGGGGCAGCTCGACACCGCGGGGCCAAATCCAGGACAGGTGGATCCACAGACACACACTCATTCTGTCAGTTAGACATTCAGCCAATAGCTCTCTATCGAGTGCCAGGTGCCAGGTAAGTCAAAACACACAGGTCTCTGAGGGGTTTCTGACCAGTGCAGGAGACAATCGCTAGTTTAAAACAATGCAAGCGAGGGCATGGATTACAGAGAGAGGGGTGTAATGAGGAGAATGGAAAAGCCGATACATGGGGTTTTGTCTCAGGCTGGGTGCACAGATGGGACATCCACAGAGCCAGGCCTGTGTCTCACTTCCAGAAGCAAGTAGTTTAGTGGAGGAGGTAGAATCCTTTCACACTGAAAATTATTTTACATCAACATTTATTGTACATTGCTCATTTAATGTGAAACTCTGCCACTTTGAGGGCTCAGTAAGTAACAGAGTTATTTATGGGCGTTTTTCTGGTTTGTCAATGACATCATCTCACTCAAGTGACAAAGACAGTCGTATTAACCCTATTTTACAGAGTAGGAAACTGAGGTCCCCAGAAGTTGAGACAGTTACCCCAGTATACTGCTGGTAAACAGTAGCCCTGAGGCCCTGACTCCAAAGCTATATTGATTACTGTTATGTAAACCAGCCTCCCTCTGAATCATCAAACCCCAGATGAGAGGACGATCAGAGTCTGAATTTTACCAACAAGGAGGCTAAGTCTGCCTAAGGTTAAAAGACCTCCACAAGGAAGTAAGGTGTGGTGTGGGACCTGAGTCCCAGGCAACTCCCACCCAGCACCTTGAAGTCTCAACCACAAGGGCCAATGGAATCAATGCTAAGAAGGGGCAGGCTGGAGGACTGTGGGAGGTCAGAGGCAGAGTGGAGCAAGAGGTATGGACAGAGGAGGGGGATATGCAGGAATGGACGTGAGATGAAGGAAAAGGTGTGGGCCACAGAAAGACCAGGGAAAGTTTCAGAAATGTTAGTGCCTGGAAAAGTAGGCAGAACAGGGAGGAGCGAGGTTGAGAGTCTGAGGAGTAGAATTTACCATTCCAGGGCCATCAACAGGTTTGAATAAAGGAGTGATGTCATTTCAGGGTGGATAACACACATTGTGGACCCCCTTTGCTGCCTTATATTCCCCACATCTGTCTTGAGGGCTTTCTTGTTCGGAGCCGATTTGGAGTGAGAGTAGAGGGCAATCATCCTGGGGGTCTTTGTGGTTGGGCTCTCTACGCTCAGGTCAGCACCTGCAGGAAGAGGCAGCTCCAAGCACAGCACCCAGGAAACAGACCTCCATGTTCCTTGCTCTGACACTATTTTGCTGTGTGACCTTGTTGAAGTACTGCCCTCTCTGGCCTTAGATTCTCCACTTGTACCATGGGAATGGGTGACCCTTAACAGCTCATCTTCCTCTGCATTTCAAGAGCCTACTGGCAGTTTAATTTACAAGTCAGGATAATTGACAGGTCTGCGTTCAAATTCTGCCAGTTTCAGGCAGATGGCATCTCTAAGACTCGGTTTCTCTACCTGGGGTTTTAGTGGCAATTGCTCCACCAGGCTGTTGTGAGGACTCAATAACATCATGTGTGTTGAAGACTCAGACTGGTGTTAGGCACAGACACCGCTCAGCAGTGGAAACCGCATCCCTTCATCCCAGAAGGGAAGTGGTCTCAGAACCAGTTAGCTCATATATCTTGGGATTGGAGAGACATCTGAGGCTGGGCATCTCCTTGACCACACACCCCAAGTGCTCGCCCACCTTCAGTGACCGGTGGCCGTTTGTTCCTTTTTTGAGCAGCTCTGTTAGAAAGGTCTTCCTTATATGGAACTGAAAGCTGCCTACAAGTCACCCACAGAGCAGAGATTCCGGAGAATGGCTGGGTCCCCCTTGAGCCAGCCCTTTCTGTTCTGGACTGAGCAGCCCCAGTTGGTGGTGGTTCGGGCTGCCTTCCCTTCTTTCCATGAGACCATTTCTGGAACATGCATTCCTGTCATCTCTTCATTTCCCAGCCTGGAAATTCAACTGCTTCTGAGCCCCCTCCAAGCCAGAGAAGGAGGATATGCCATGGCACTGGCCATTCTCCTGCCTCCAGGGGCCTGATTGGAGCCATCCAATCCTCCTGCTTTGCCCCATCCCAGTGGCTAGTCCTCACTGCTCAAGTCTTAGAGGAGAGGAGTCCCCTAGCCCCTGCCCTCCAGCCTGTGTAAGACTGTTTCGGCCTCAGGGCTGAGTCACTGCCTTTCTGGCCTTCAGGGAGACCACAAAGGGTGTCAGAGGGGGAAGAGAAAAGGGCAGGAGTCAGCAGGCTGGGAGGGGGAGGGACCCAAGGACAGGGGAAAGGAAGGAGAGAAGGAGATGGCAGGCTGGTTCAGACGCCAGGATTCTGGGGTTGAACTGAGCTCTGAGGACAGGGTGCATTGGAGATGAACAGGAGAGTTCCCCCAAAGTCTCCAATGGGAGTTGTTCAGGTCTCCACCTTCCCACACACTCAGAACTAGCAGACCCAGGTGGGGAGGGTCTTTGATGACTGCATCCCCCACCTCGGTCCCCCAGGGCTGGTGTAAGGAATACAAGAGAGGATGTGCACTGTCTAGCCAGTGCCCAGCTCACAGGAAGTGCTTACAGCGCTGTGGTCTTTAGTCACTACTACCATTATTAGGAAATCTGGCCTGGGAAGGCCCATCCCGACACTCTTTAATGGTCCCGGTGGGAGCTCACCCTTCCAGTGGTGCCCTGGCTGGCCTGGGACTGAACATCCAGCCCTGGCAGTGGACAAGGTGGGCAGAGGAAGGGTGGTGGGGGACACTCAAGACAGTTCTCCTGTAGGTCCAGGTATCCAGTTTCTCAAGATCTGAGATTCCAGCCAAACAACCTCTTCTTCCCCTAAGCCCCCTTCCCAACCAACATCCCCTGCCCTCTGCCTGGCTGGGGACATGAGGGGGCTGACTCAGGCCCAGCTGCAGAGAGACAGAGAAAAGAGAAGTGGTGAGGAGAGAAAACAGCTGTGGCTACAAAGGCTCTTGGAACTGGAAGTGGCCAGGAGAGCTAAGATGCCCCTCCTTGTACTCTGTCTCTGCCTCTCAGATTGGAAAGGGACCCATCTACAGGGCTGGAATCCTCAGGGATTCCGAAGTTTTCTTTACATCCTATGACAGATTATTCTCCTAAGCCATACCATGTTCTTAAGCTTATCTGCAGCCTTCCCTTCCTTCTAATCAGAACTTGAAAGTTCTTCCTTATGTCTAACTGAAGTCTTTTCTCCCAAACCTGGAGTTTTTTCTGACAGCTATCTGGAGTCTTTTGTCCTAACCTGGGTAAGACTTGCATTCACAGACCACTTCGCACCCCAAACCCCTATTATACACCTTTAGCTGCCCTGGAGCTGGGGGAAGTTCAGCTGCAAACACAAGCCAGCTGGTCCCCATCCCCAAGGCCTGACCAGAAAACAAGTTGGTCTGCTGACTCAGGGTCTCAGTGTCCTCCACTGCCCCATCCTAGCTTCCACTTTCCCCCTAAACTCAGCCTTCCATCAGCACTTCTCATGGGCACTGCTGGCAGGACAGTCCCTGGGCAACTGCCTCTAGGGTGGGACAGAGATCCAGACAGAGATGCTTCCCTGATCCGGGTCTGCCTCACTGGCCCCATGTAAAACCTGAGAAGGAATTCCAGTCTTTCCAAAGGTCCTGGTCCTACAGACACTTACTGCCCAGTGGGCCTGTTCTCTCTATAGTTTAGAAATGTAAAGCTACATCATGCTATCCTCCTGGTCAAACCCTCCAGAGCTTCTTGTTACAGTTAGAATAGAATCCACACAAACCCTCCAGAGCTTCTTGTTACAGTTAGAATAGAATCCACACAAACCCTCCAGAGCTTCTTGCTACAGTTAGAATAGAATCCACACACATCACAGCTTACAAACCCTTCCAGCCTTTCAAACCTCCTCTCCCATCCCTCAAGCCCCACTGGACACCTTCCCATCCCTGAAACTTACCAGGAGCGTCCCATCGTGGTCTATTTACATTAGCTATTGACATGTGCCTAGAAACTTCTCTCTCCTGATTACCACCTGGCTGTCTCCTCCTCATTGTTCAAGTCGCCACTCAAAGGGATTTATGTCCTCAGAGGATTCCCTGATTTATCTTAAATTTTCCATCACCCTATCACTCTCTGTCCCATTAAGGGGGGGGGGCAGTGAAGGAACTATCAACTTATGAGGGGGCTTCTTAAAAATTTTCATTATCTTTCAATTCCGTTTTTCCATGGACTTTATGAAGCTCCCTCCTATTTGATTCCAAATCATGGAGAACTGTTTCCCAGGGATTTCCATGGCGATAATCTCACAGAGAGGCAAACAGTTTGAACCCATGCAGTGGTACCATGGGAAAAAGGTCTGGAGATCTGGTTCTGTTCAAATTACATCCACAAAAGCCCGTTGGAGCACTTCTACTCTGTGACGTAGGGGGTCGCTGGGCAGCCAGTTTGGCTTTTGGTTTAATCTTACAGAAGTAGAGTTCTTCCAAGGCCTGTCTTCCAAGGTGCCGCTGGATGGATTCAAACCACCAACCTTGTAGATAGCAGCCGAGTACAACCCATTTGCACCACCCAGTGACATTCTATTCCATTACTGTTTTATTTTCTTTCCAGAGCTATTTGAAAACCCCTACTTGCTCGTATATATTGGTGGTGGTGGTGGTGGTGTGCCGTGGAGTCAGTTCCAACTCATAGTGACCCTGCATAAGGTTTCCGAGGCTGTAAATCTTTACAGGAGCAGAAAGCCGCATCTTTCTCCCACGGAACCACTGGTAGTTTTGAACTGCTGACTGTGAGGTTAGGAGCCTGACTTGTAACCACTGTGCTACCAGAGCTCCTTATATATTGAATTGAGGTTAATGTGTCTAGAATGCAAACTCCATGAGGGCAGGGACATTGTCTTTTTCAGCTCTGAATCCACAGTGCCTGACACAAATGGATGCTCAAATACCTGGGTAGATGAAGGGGCGGGAGGAAGCATGGGCAGAATGACCAGGTCCCTCAGAGATTATTTTATACAACTCCTTCCGTACACAGGTAGGAAAACTGAGGCTCCGAGAAGGAAGGTCATATGGGAAGGCAGGATCAGAGCTGAGTCTGATGAGATGAACACTGACCTCTGCAACAACATGCCAGGCTGCCCCAAGTCTTCTCCAGCCCCGGCCCATGGGTCTGCCCATACCCCCTGCTCTCAGGGGATGAGACTCAGGGTTCTCCAGCCAGACCTGACTGATACAGGTCTTCCTCCTTCTCCCCACCACAGAAGCCCAAGTACCAAGTACGCTGGAAGATCATTGAGAGATATGAGGGCAACAGTTATACCTTCATTGATCCCACCCAGCTGCCGTACAGTGAGAAGTGGGAGTTTCCCCGAAACAACCTGCAGTTTGGTGAGATGGGACCTCAGCACCAGTTATGCCCTGTGCATAGGGCCAGTGTGGGGTGAGGGGTGCAGGGAGCCAGTGGGCTCTTAGAGAGAAGGCTCTTTGGTGCCCAGGGACCTAAAGAGCCAGTGTTATCTGGTAGGTAAAACCCTTGGAGCTGGCGCCTTTGGGAAGGTGGTAGAGGCCACAGCCTTTGGTCTGGGCAAGGAAGATGCTGTCTTGAAAGTGGCTGTGAAGATGCTGAAATGTGAGTCGGGGAAGGAACTTGGGGGACCTTGGGGAGTGGAGTGGAAGGTGGGTGTGACTCGTCATTGTAAGAGGCATCATCCCTGTTTTCGGCCTTTCCAGACTCCTGGTTCTGAGGAGGCCTGGGTCAACCATTGGGTGTGAAGGGGCGTCTAGCTGGGGTTCACGCCGGCTACCTGGGGCCATGGTCTGGCCACAGCTTGGTTTCTCTCACTGCAAGAGCAGCTCAGTGACAGCCCATCTTTCTCTCCCTAACCCTCTTCTCCCGGCATCTGGACCTCTGTGTGACCTCTGCTTCCTCCTTGGATTTCTGTATTTGGCTTCCTATCTCTGTGGCTCTCGGTGTCCTTCTCTCTGCTCATTGATGGGATCTGTGGTCTCATCACTCAGCCACGGCTCATGCTGACGAGAAGGAGGCCCTCATGTCAGAACTGAAGATCATGAGCCACTTGGGCCAGCACGAGAACATAGTCAACCTTCTGGGAGCCTGCACGCATGGAGGTGAGAGGTCCTGGCAGGGATAAGGGGTCCATAGCCTTAGCCCTCTCAGCATATGCAGGAACCCCAGAGCCACTTCACGCCATCTTCCCCTTCCCATCTCCTGCAAGTGCCCTGCCTTCGCATCCCTTAAACCCCTAGACTCGACTGACTGACTAGTCAGAGGCTAATTCTGGGGATGCAGACAGCTCTGTGGAGCTCACACCAGTGATTTGCAGACACCAGTGAGCATCCAAATCATCTGGAGAGAGAAAAAAAATGCAGATTCCTTGACCCAGACACTCAGCTGGAGCAAACCCCCCAAATCTATTGTTTAAGAAGCCCCGACCCACTGATGCTTGGGCAAACACTCATTCCAGGTCCACAGAGGTGCCCAGGGCCTGTACTCACATTCTCTTCACCTATAACAGCTTTATTTTTATTTGACCTATATATATCATACCACCATGGACTTCCTTTGAAAGAATCCCTTGGCTAAAACAACAACAAAATGTTTTTCATATGTTCCATTTAGTATTAGGAACACCTGTTTGCAAACATCTATTAAGTCTTTTGCCCTTTTTGTAATGGATGCTCTGATTGACTTCTTAGAGGGATTCTTTTTTCTTTTTCTTTAATCTATTGACGCTTACTTACTTTGTGTGACCCAATGTACCATCTATTCTGGAGAATGCTTCATGCTCATAGGAAAAGGTTGCCCATGGTGCTGTTGTTGGGTGGAGTTATGTCCGAGTTCCGCATATATGTCTGTAGGGTCAAGTTGGTTCGTTCTTCTGTGTTTTTGTTGAGTGGCTAAAACAACATTTAGAGTTGGTTCTGTGTTAGACAGCTGGGGTGAGTGAGGTCCACAGAGTCATGAACAGAACTCAGATCTCAGTCTGCCCCCACCCCACTCTCTTGGCTGCTGTAGGCCCTGTCCTGGTCATCACTGAATACTGTTGCTATGGCGACCTACTCAACTTCCTTCGCCGGAAGGCTGAGGCTATGCTGGGACTCAACTCAAGTGCAGGCCAGGGCCCTGATGGGATCGCCACTGGCTACAAGAACATCCACCTGGAGAAGAAATACTTACGTAGGTAAGAAGCAGGACTGAGAAGTGGAACACCTGGGTCTGCCCCTAAAGTTAGCTCAGGGCTGGGTGTGGGTGTGGCCTCACACTCCTGTCTGCACCATAGGGAGCAGCCAACCCAGATTATACAGATAATGCAGCACTGATTCTCATCATTGCAAAAATATTTGCACATCAGTGATGTACTGCAAGTTGAAGGCAAAGATGGGGCAGCTCACGGCTTGGTGGTGGGTGTTGTTATGAATCTTCGAGTTGATCCTGACTCACAGCAACCCTATAAGATGGACTAGAACTGATCTATATAGTTTTTCTTTATGTTGTGGCGCTGTGGGCTAATGCGCCAGACTGCAAAGTTGTTTGAACCGCAAAGTCGGTGGTTCAAGCTCACCAGCTGCTCCTTGGAAACCCTACACAGGGTCGCTATGGGTCAGAATCGACTCGAAGTCACTTAACAACAACAAACTTTATGGAAACAAATCACCTGGTCTTTTCTCTTGCTAAGCAGCTTGTGGGTTCGAACCACTTGCCTTTCAGCTAGCAGCCAAGCACTTAAGCATTGCACTATCACCTTGCTATATGTAAAAGATCAAATCAGCCAACCACCCATCTCTTCCATGGCATGTGCTGCTTAGGACCTGCAGGGCACCCACTCCCTTTGCCATGGAGAAGCAGTGCAGATTCTGGGGGCTTGTTGGGTGAGAGGGGGCAAAATGGCAGGATTAGCTGCATGACTATGGTCAAGTCCTCAGTTCACCTGGGTCTCAGTTTCCCCAGGCATCATCAGGGGACTGAAGAGGATGGCCTCTCTGGGTCTTCCTGGCTCTGCCATTCTGTAATGCTGTGATTCCTGGGAACCACCCACAGATGGACAGAGCCACATGGGGAACCAGGGTGGGACGTGGTGGGCTTTGTGTCACATAGTCAGGGCAGACACAGAGCCTGGGTTAGAATTCTGCTCTCCAGACTCCTGGTCCAGGTCTCACTCCCGAGTCACACCACTCTCTGCAGGGCTCAGTCTTGGGGGCTGCTGAGGCCGTGGAAGGCCAGGACCAGAGCAGGGCCAGGGTTCTGCCTGAGTGCCCTGGTTCCATCACTGTCGGCCCTGCAGCAAAAGAGGAAGGAGGCCACTTCTCTATTCAGTGTCCTTAAATATGGGGATCTGACAGGCCTGCTTCCTATTCCGTCTGTCCACTGTGAGGGCAGCTCACACTGGGCCTGTCTGCAGGCTGGAGTCTCAGACTAGATCAAATTCAAACAGGGACCAGAGGAAAAGTATCTGCTTCCACTGTGGAACTGGCAGGTGGGGCAAAGACTTGGAGGATGGGGTGATTTCAAGGTCAAGGGACATGTGAGCCAATCCTGCCATTGGAATTCAGGCCACATTAATAGAGGTATTGCTTCTAGAACAAAGGAGGGATGGTTTTGTCACCATCAATAAAACAGTCTTTCTGGGAACAAGCGCGTATGGACATTATCAGGGCCACATCTCTCTAACAGAGAGGGCAGGAAGGTAAGAGGTGTCCAGCAATGTCTAGCTGGGATATTAGGAGCTGTTATTGTTAGGTGACCTGGTCAGTTCTCATGGCAACCCTATGCACAACAGAATGAAACACTGCCTGGTCTTGTACCACCCTAGCATTCCCATTGTTGCAGCCACTGTGTCTGTCTGTCCATCTTGTAGAGGGCCTCTCTCTTTTTTGCTGACCATCTGCTATTGAATCTAGAGCAGTGCTTTTCAAAACTCCGTTTATAGTCAAAGTGTTGGGGCAGAGGCATCATCACCTGGGGAAGAAATGCAGGCTCATGACTGTTGATCAGAAACTGCACAGTCATGAAGCCCTCCATGTGCCTGCCGATGACAGTGATAGTAACATTCCTCTAGAGCACCAGGTCCCTGCCAGAAGGCCCACAGGCATCACCTGGTAGAGATTAAACAATATGAATGACTGGGTTTCACCCCTAGAGATTCTGAAGTTATTGGTGTGGTGTCCTGGGCATGGGGTCGTTGTTAAGTGTCTGACTTATAGCAACCCGGCATATGGTTTCTAAGGAGCAGCTGGTGAATTTGAACCACCAACCTTGTGGTTCAAATGGACCTTGCAGTCCAGTGCGTTATCCCACAGTGCTACAGCAGAACTGTTGGGTATGGGGGTTGTTACAAGTTCTCATACCCAAATCAAACCAAACCTACTGCCATTGAGTCGATTCTGACTCATAGCAACCCTATATAGAGTTTCTGAGACTGTAAATCTTTACGGGAGCAGACAACCTTGTCTCTTGAGAATTGCCTGGTAGGTCGGAACCACCTACCTTGTGGTTAGCAGCGCAATGATTCGACAGCACCACCAGGCAATGTGTATGTGAAGTCAGGGGTGAGACCCCTGGTCTAGAGAAGAAACTGCTCAATGAATGGGCCCTGGGGTCTCATCAGTTCCCTGCAGGCTGGGACAGGGACGAGGGAGGTGACTCCTGCTCTGTGGTCCTTGAGTTGGCGAGTGCTGCTGAGCAGGAGAGGGTGAGAGCGGGAAGGGACAGATTTACTGTGGTGGTGGTGGTGGTGGTGGTGTAACAATGAAGTACTTTCTAACACGTAAACAGAAGAAACCAAGCTTAGGGCCATTGAGTCATTTCCAACTCACAGTGACCCTGTATAGGGTTTCTAAGGCTGTAAATCTTTATGGGAGCACACAGGCTTATCTTGGTGGGTTTGAACTGCCAACCATGCAGTTGGCAGTCCAGTGCTTGTCCGACAGCACCACCATGACTCTAACAGGCAGAGCTGTCCAAAGATGGAACTAGCTGGAAGATCTGTCACTGGTGATGGTCAAGCACAGATCAACAATTGCTTAGAATGTGGCAGAGGTGTGGCTCCTTGTCAGAAAGGGATGCTCACATTGTCCCCAAAGTCCTTCTCTTCCCTGCTGAGGGGCTGGGTGAGGTCACAGCCTGAGTCAGGGACTGACCCGTTCTCTGGGCTCCCCTCCATGTAGGGACAGCGGCTTCTCCAGTCAGGGTTTGGACACCTACGTGGAGATGAGACCTGTTTCCACTTCATCATCAAATGACTCCTTCTCTGAGCATGGTAAGGAGGTGCTGGGGGTGGGGGTGCTGGGACTGGGACCAGTGAGGTGTGGTAGCATGGCCCTGAAACCTCTTCCCATGGCAGACCTGGACAAAGAGGATGCACGGCCCCTGGAGCTCAGAGACCTGCTCCACTTCTCCAGCCAAGTGGCCCAAGGCATGGCCTTCCTCGCTTCCAAGAATGTGAGTCAAAACTGGCCCCTCCTGTGGCTACCTAGACCTCTGCTGGAGGGAAGCTGGATGAGTGAGGAGGAGAGGCGAGAGGGGCACATGAGGGGGCAAGGGAGGAGCCAGAATGCTGCCATCACCAGGTATCTACAGGTTTCAGGAACAAGTGGGAAAAAGGGGTACCCAGTATTCCCTCAGGTGTGCCCTTAGTGTGCAGAGTCTAGGAAGGATCCCATTCCCATAAACAGTCTTTACTCATTCACTGCTACTCAAAAGCACCTGGTCTCTCAGGCTGCAATAACCTTTATCAGTGGGGAGAGTCAGAGTCTGAGCAGGCCCCAGAAGCAGTGAGCCCCTGGTGTTGTAACATAGGAATGATAATGGAACCTCCCTCGTAGAGGGGGAGATGTGAGATGGCATATAAAATACACTCAGCCCAGGATCAAGTACCCAGGGAATGGGACTTTTAGTGTCACCTGAATAGCATACACTTGGGAGTCCTAGCTTGATTCCTGGGCCTGGCTCCTCACTATGTGACCATGAACTGACTTTTCTGAGCCTCAGCTTCTGCTTCTATAAAAATGGGCAAAATCACAGAACTGTTTGAGAAGAAAACAGAGTTACAAAGACTGTCCTGAGGGTGGCAGCTGCTCACAGCACAAGGGACTCATTGCTACTGGGCCTGAATAGACACCCTAGTTTCCAGGTCGCTCCTGCTGCTCAGGAACTAGGGCACACAGGGCACACAGGGCATGGCAGCTTGAGGGTTGGGGGTTCCCACATGGTTTCACATCTAGGTCCTGGAAGAAGGTAAGCGCCCAGAGTGAAGAGCTCAAACTGGTGCCCTCCTCTGAGGGGACCGTGAGGGCACAGGGGCCCTCTCCTTGCTCCTTCTGCACATTGGTCTCAGGTAGGGCAGGGACCCTGACTAACCCTGCTGTGCCTCCCCCAGTGCATCCACCGAGATGTGGCAGCCCGAAATGTGCTATTGACCAGTGGGCATGTGGCCAAGATCGGGGACTTTGGGCTGGCTAGGGACATCATGAATGATTCCAACTACATTGTCAAGGGCAACGTGAGTGTGGGGAATGGGTGGGCTGGGCTGGGGAGGGGGCGCTGGGCCGGGACCCAAGGTGACAGTGGACTGCTGTGCCAGGCACGCCTGCCAGTGAAGTGGATGGCTCCGGAGAGCATCTTCGACTGTGTCTACACGGTTCAGAGCGACGTCTGGTCCTATGGCATCCTCCTCTGGGAGATCTTTTCACTTGGTAAGCACTGGGACCAACACCCCCGCCCCAGACCCTTGTGGGGAGGACACGGGCAGGGTTTTGTGCCCAGGACAGAGCAAAGGCTGAGTCACAACCAAAAGCTGCAGCTCCTGTGCTGATGGGGCAGGTCTTCCACCCTGACACGTGTTACTTGTTCCCGCTGGACTCTGTTGTTTCTGTTGCCTAGAACTCACGTGCCCTTTTTGTCTGGGATGTTTATTGTCAATTTCTGATTTATAATGACCCTATGTGTTAAGAGTGTAACTTACCTGTAGGGTTTTCTAGGCTCTGGTAGCGTAGTGGTTACGAGTTGAGCTGCTAATCTCACGGTCAGCAGTTTGAAACTACCAGTTGTTTCGTGGGAGAAAGATGAGGCTTTCTGCTCCCGTAAAGATTTACAGCCTCGGAAACCTTGTACAGGGTCACTATGAGTCAGAACTGACTACACGGCACATAACCACCAACAACAACCTGGTGGCATAGTGCATCGGCAGTTTGAACCCACCAGTTGTTCCGAGGGAGAAAGGTGGGACTGTCTACTCCTGTCACAAGATTGAGTCTCGCAAATCCTAGGAAGCAGTTGTACACTGCCCTGTGGGGTTGCTAAGAGTCAGAACTGATCTGACCGCAGAGACTTAATCTTGACGGCAGCAGACGGCCAGGTCTTTCTTCCACAGAGCAGCTGGGTGAGTTCAAACTGCCAACCTTTCTGTTATCAGCTGAGCATTTATCCACTTAGCCATCAACGCTCCTTAGATGGCATAGATACAGCTGGAATAATTAATGCCACTAAATTTTATATGTGAAGAATATTGAAATACTGTAGGCTTTGTTACATATAGATCTACCATAATAAATAACCAGAAAGTTTCCCAAGAAGCCTTTATCCATGTTGTTGTTTAGTGCCGTCCAGTTGGTACCAACTCATAGTGACCTGTATAGGGTTTCTGGTGAGCAGTGAGTCTGAACTGCTGACCTTGCAATTCAAACGACCCATAGTGCCACACCAGGACTTTATCCATAGAGCTTACTGAAAACCAAGATGCGGCTTGAATTATCCTAGTAGCTGCCACACCTCAGGCAGTGCAGGTACTCCTATTGGCCACCCTGAACTGATACACAACTGAAGTTCGGGTTGGCCTGACTCCAGGCTTGTGCTGCAGCTCGTTCTATGGTATATGAGATCTGGGTGAAGGCTCTCAACCTCCTGTAAACTTAAGCCCTTTTCACAGGGACAGTGCCTGGCACTCAGTACGGGGAGTTGCTGTTGTAGCCTCACCAGTCCCAGTGGGAGCCCGGGCACCTTGGTTTCACTTAGCCACATGTGTGGGAGGGACGGTGGTTGAGGGTGGGTGAAGGTGAGTTCCTAGGTGTGAACTCTCACACATGATCCTGGCTTTTGCAGGGCTGAACCCCTACCCTGGCATCCTGGTGAACAGCATGTTCTATAAACTGGTGAAAGATGGCTACCAAATGGACCAGCCTGCATTTGCCCCAAAGAACATGTGAGTGAGGTGGTCCTGGGGTGGGATGGGCAACTCAAGATTTCAAGTTTCCACAGGGTTGGTGGAAGAGTGTGTGGCCCAGGGCTTTCCATCTAAAAGGTTTGGGATCCGGCTTGAACTCCCTCAGTAACCAAAATCCATACCCACTGTCATAGAGTTGATTCTGACTCTAACAACCCCACAAAGCAAAGAATTCCAAAAATCTTTCCTAGGCTAAGTCATTTTTGCAGTTGGCAGCCCAGTGCTTAACCCACTGTGCCATTTGGGTTTTTTATCTCCTTCACAATGGACTAAAACAATGCAGGGTTTCCAACAGTTTTCTAGGAAACATGGGGCAGGGGGAATGGTCTCAAGAGGAGTAACAGGTGAAAATGAGGCTGGTCCTAACCCTGATGACAGACATTTACCTCAGACTCTCTTACCGTGACCAGAGGAGGGCTCCCCTCTTCAGAGCCCACTAGCTGATGGGTCACTGAATCTGATCCACCTGGAACTCCTTGCTCAAATCAGCCAGCAGCCACCCCGCTCCTCCCAGGCTTTGCACCAGCCAGTTGGCCCCCAGCTCACTCACTGCAGCCATGTGCTCTATACAATCACTTCCTGCTTCCACCGGCCCACCCATCACACCTCCTTACAGACTTGAAGATCATGAGCGTGGGTAAAACACAGAACACCTCAGAGATTTCTTCCCACATAATTCAAAATGTTACGTGCCGTGGAGTCGGAACAGACTCACAGGGACCCTGTACAGGGTTTTCGAGGCTGTAAATCTTTACAGGAGAAGAAAGCCTCATCTTTCTTCTACAGAACAGCTGGTAGTTTCGAACTGCTGACCTTAAGGTTTGCAGCCCGATTCATAACAATTATGCTAGTCAAAATGTAGGTGGTGGAAACTACCTTGCTCCAAGGGCTAATGTGAGGAAACAAGATGTCTGTAGAGGACTTGTGCTAAGCTCACCTTTGATACCCCTTCTGAGCCCTCCGCTGGGGGTGGGAGGACCCCTGGACCTCTGGGAAACGCTCACTGGCACTTGTCCTACCTCCAGATACAGCATCATGCAGGCCTGCTGGGACCTGGAGCCCACCTGCAGACCCACTTTCCAGCAGATCTGCTTCCTCCTCCAGGAGCAGGCTAAAGCGGACATGAAAGAACGGGTGAGTGGGACCAGGCTGAGGGCAGGGGTTGCTGAAGCAGGCCAGGTTCGGCCTGATGGAGAAGGCCTGACCATCTCCTGGCTGCTCCCACCCTCAGGACTACACCAACCTGCCCAGCAGCAGTGATGGTGGCGGCGGCGATGGTGGTGGCAGTAGCAGCAGCGGCAGCAGCAGCAGCAGCGAACCAGAGGAGGAGAGCTCAAGTGAGCACCTGGCCTGCTGCGAGCAAGGGGAGAGCTCCCAACCGCTGCTGCAGCCCAACAACTACCAGTTCTGCTAAGGAGGTGACAGGGAAGTACTGCCTCACCTCTCCAAGCTCCAACTCCTCCATGCATGGGCACCATGGGGTGAACATAGACTCTGCCCTGGGTCATGTCACTCAACAGCCTGCCCAGAAACTCAGCATCGTGGGCAGAGGACCCCATTTCTCGAGCCTGGGCCATCACTGCCAGTAAGAGGCTGGGGGCTGAGCCCCCTGCCCCTCTGTCCTCAATGCTGCCAGTCTGTTTGCTATGCCAACTGGTAGATACCCCCTGCCCTACTCCAGCTCTCTTAACCTTGTTCCCACTTCCAGGAACCTCCTTCCCTAGTCCCCTTGTGTCTCAATGTGCCTAACAAGCTCTCAGGAGTGGCCTAGTATGGAGAACGTAAGGCTCCTCAGGACTGCGCAGACCAGCTGAGTAGGAGCCCCCTCGTGCCCCTGGGGGAGCAGCAGCGGGGACTGGTGCTCAGAGGCTGTCCTCACGGCAGGTGGCTCTTTTTAAGAATTTAACAGCACCTGTTGGTCTCTGTCCTCTAAAAGCCTTCACCCCACCCCACCCTGGCCCGCCTGAATCTGGCACTGCTGTAATGAGCCACGTGGCAGCTAAAAATGAGGGGCTTTCTGCCCAGTACTCCGTCATTTCTGGGTGGGATAGCACAGGACCATGGTGTGTGGCTGGCCACACCAAGCAAGAAGCATACACTCCCCCAAGTTGACTCATGATAACTAACAGTCACGCTGTGGAAAGTCTCCACCCTATTAAACTAACAGCATTAACACAGTGGCTCTCTGGTTCTTTGCGCCACACCAGCACCAGCCAACCCCCTGGGCCTCCTTCATACGTGGCGACAGGCTCAACCACTCTGCCCAGCACTGTGACCATGGAATGGACTCTCACTTCACCAAAACCAGATAATTTAATAAACTTTATTCTTGTCAGGGAAGAGGGAGGGGGAAAAGCCACCAACTCCACTCCTCTTTAATAAATTAAATAACACACGGCCAAGTCCCAGGTCCTAAGCACACCTCGGGCACTTGAGCCGGTCCTGCTGTTTCCCTGCGGCCCAGTCTGCTTCCCCTTCACGGAAGGGAGTTTTCCTACTGCTGCTAGATTGTGTCATGACCATGGGCCACATCCCCTCTGTGGTGAGGGTCCCAGGGCTCAAGAGGATGTAGGGTACAGCAGGGAGGAAGGGAGGGGATACTACTCTTCCTCAAAGCTCAGCTTTTCCCACATATGGGTGCAGGTCGGAGCAGACTCTATAAAGAAATGCACTCCCTCCCTGGGGGAGACACAAGTGCCCAAAGGAATTCCTCGAGCTAATGAGGTCCTCAAGGTCCTAAATCAAAGGCCAACAGTAAGGCATGCTCCTCTCCTCAGTGGAGGGAAGAGATGCCTCTGCAGCCTTCCCCTCCCTGCCTTGGCCCGTACCCAGCTTGTCCACCCTGAGAAGCCCACCAGCCTATCCCTCGGTCTCCCGTTCCTTCTGCTCATCAGACCGTGTATCCCAAGTGCTCTCTCAGGGCCAGTAAAGGGTTTCCTAGTGCCTTTCTAGACCCCTGAGAAGTAGTGAGGTTTAGGACCAAGGACCTGGGCCCTCCTTTGCTCAGGAAATGGAAGCTCTTTGGTCAGTCCCAGCAGTCAGAGGCCCTCCCCACAGGCGAACACTTCGGCTGGTTTCCTGGATCGATCTGCCTCAGGCACGGCCCTTGCTATGGCTTAAGATGGTGCAACCCTATACAACAGCCTGGCTTATTCTGCCACTGCAGCCCCCTCCTCTTCCTCACCCTCCTCCTCTGCCTCTGTCTTGATCTGAGCCACCCCAAGACGATAGAGGGTATCTCGGATGACCACCTCGCCAGGCTGGCAGCTCTGCACGATGTCATGGATCTGCCGGTTGACAATCTCACGGCTGGTGAGGAAGTCAATGAGGCGGTTGTAGAGGTAATAGTGAGTGGCATTGTCAAAGGCAACAGGTCGCTGGCGGACACTGTGTGGCTTGCTCTCTGTAATGGAGGCCAGGATGGTGGTGTAGGGGGTCAGCTCAGGACACAGGGTCAAGGAGTGGTGCCCAACGCTGGGGTCACCAGGACCAAGCTGAGCGCCCGCATGGACAATGCGTCGTGTGGCCGTCTTGGTGACTGGGTGTTGGACAGAGTGCGCGGGCTCGGTCACGTCCACGGTATAGTGCTGGTCCAAGAGCTCTGGACAGGACACGCTCTAGAAGAGACAGAAGTCACCACACAGACATGAAGGAATGAGCCCAGCTTTACTACTTACTGCCTCTCCTCAACGTGCCTGCAGTCATTTTCTCATGGCAGAATAAGGACAGGAACAGTGACACTACTCTAAGGGCAGACGCTGGGTCACTTGAGCTGCTACTATTGTTTGTTATTGTTGTTGTTACAAGCCGTCAAGTCTATTACTGCACTGAGTCAATTCAGGCTGGGATGGCAGAAGTGGGGATGGGCGAGGATGTCCTTTCTGGATGGAGTAGGGAAGAAGTACACGACAGCAATGTCGCCTCCCTCAAGGCCAAGCCAGAGGCCTTGTCCTCCCAGTCCTAATGTCTGCCGGTGCCTCTGGGAAGAACAACCGGCTGGTACAACGTATCAAAGTGCACAACAAGGTCTCTGCCTCTACCTGCTGTGGACTCTGGACACGTCCATTCCCCTCTCTGGGCCTCAGTTTCCCTCTAAAGCACCTATGTTGGGGAGACCGTGACTACTAAGTGACATGCTGTGGTCTGACTCACTGAGGTGGGTCACAAGTATTGGTGGAGTAAATGCTGGTCCCAGAGTGACGAGACAAAATATTGGAGGAAAAGCCTGTTGGGGAGGCCTTCCTGAAGAACTGCACGGTGACACACAGTTGGCCTTAGCAGTGTGTTCCAGTGCTGCAGGAGGTACTCACCATAGGAGGCTCTGTGGGATTGGAGAAACAGCCCTGGTTCCTCCCCCACATCTGCTGGGTCAGCTCTGGGTAGCAGAGATCAGCACATAGAGCCACTGGTGTGGCCATATCGACCACGTAGACAGGTGGCCAGTGGCGGGAAGAGGCAAGCAGGTCCACATGGTCGCGGGCACTCTCGCCCCGCACAAGGTACTTAGAGCCACAGACCACCTGGGTGGGAAAGACGGACACAGCACAGGGTTAGGCAGCAGATATGCAGACAGGCCTCGCTTCTTCTGAGAAGCAACTAACAGGTTTTATGACTGATGCCATGACCACCTGCCAGAACTTTGTGTCCCGAAATGAGGCAGATGGGGGTCACCCTGCCCCACCATGAGAGGAGATGGGCGCATCCTGTGATGGAGACAGGCACCTCACAGGGCATCTGCTCCAAACGTCTCGTAACATACCATGTCTGCCAAGACCAGCGTCTGTCTAGTCCCATGATTCTCAACCCTGGCTGCACAGGACCCTCATGAAGAGCTGATTCAAATGCAGATTCCTGGACCCAACCCAAACCTAAGGAATTACTAGGGTCTGTGGGGTGAATTTTAAGCACCTGTGGTTTTAGAAATCTCCCCACCAGACCCGAGGTGTTGCTAGATGGGAGTGCCTGCTGATGTCTAGTGATGTCTCACGGTGTTCTGGGTGGCTCTGGGTGCACTGGGAGATTCTATCCAATGCTATCTCCAACCTTCACACCACTGACCACCCCCATCAGCCTGAGGTCAAAGTTCACATTGCTGTGAATCCAACTGCTCCTTCATGAGACACAGACTCAGTTAAAGGAGCAGTTATCGGACTCCCTGTGGAGCAGCCAGGCCACCTGCAGGCTAACTCACCACAACACACTGAAAGCTCTGTTCAGAACAGCCCCTCCCCACTCAGTGCTTGCTCAGTGGGCCTTTTGCCTCCAATACCCTCCTGGGCCTACCCTGTCATACAGCACACAACCCGTCTCAAAGCTGATCTGATGGCTACCGGGCCAAAACCAGACCGGGCCACCACTCCCATTCCCTATTCCAACAGTCCAATGGCCCAATGGCCTCCTTGCCACTCTCAGACTAAAATCCAAACCACTGCCTTGATCTAGCCTTTGCTGACCACCCCCCTACCCCAAGGCTCTCTCTTCTTGGTTCGCTATGCCTTCCCACCTTCTTAATTACTGATCCTGGAAAGTTCCTTCCCTGGCTGTCCACAGACAACAGGTCTTTCCCGGGAACTTTCTCTTGAGGTCCTTTGTCCAGCTCTTTCAGAGATTCTGCCACAGTTATGGTGTGGCAGAGATACTGCCACAAATATGGGTGCAAGGACACCGATGGCTCACTGGTAGAATTCCTGCTTTCCGTGGGGGAGACTCAGACTTTATGCCCAGAAGAGGCCCCTTGTGTGCAGCCAGTGAAGGCTTGTGGATTGCTATGATGCCAAACAGGCTTCAGCAGAGCTTCTGGAAGAAAGGCCTGGTGATCTATGTCTGAAAGTCAGTTAATGAAAACCCGATCCCAACCCACCCCAGGGATGGCACAGGGGCAGGCAGCATTGCATTCTGTCGTGCATGGGGTTGTCGTGAGCCGAGGGCTGACTAGGTGACGGTCAGCAGCAATGTGAGCTCACCCCTGTGCCCCCAGCAGCTGGTGCAGAGCCTAGCACACGGCTAGGTGCTTAATAAAGACACACTCATGAATGGCCCAGGTTCCCTCCCTAGCACCACAGGTGGCCACCAGACCCACGGGCAGCTCCTCCGCAGGCTGCCTGGTCCCTGAAGGACAAGCGACATCACTCAGATCCTCTGCATGGGCAATCTGACCTGGGAAAGCCTAAGACCAGTAAGCCTCAAGGAGTCAAAGAACAAGCCAGGGGAATAAAAAGAGAAAATATAGACGCTCATATGCTAAGAGAGCAAGGTCCCTAGTGGAGTACTGGTTACTGGCATTCCTGGAATACTCAGGTATTCTTAGAAACAAACAAGACAAGACATAACGACCAATACAAAGCCTCCCTTTTCTTGAGGTAGTATCATGTACGTCACAGTGGTTCTCATCCCACGGAACACTGGGAAATGTCGGGAGCCACTTTTAGTTATAACTGGGAGGAAGGGGTTGCACTACTGGCCACTGAAGGTGCATTAGAGGTCAGGGATGCTGGTAAGCATCCTGGAATGCACAGACCAGAAAGAATTATCTGGCCCAAAATGTCAAGAGTGCTGATGTGGAGAAACCTTGGTCTACTTCTTGCAATCAGACTTAAAATGCCCTCTCTCTCATTCCACGTCACTTCATCTCTTCCCTACTCCTGAGGTTACCATCAGTTTGTCTTGCCTGCAAGGGAAGACATAGCCAACACTATCCTCAGAGCACCTGAGCAAGTGGCCATGAACAAATTCACCACAAAGTCCCCCTTGCTGTTTCTTACCTGATGGGGGCACACTTTGTAGATTTTACCCCCTGTGAGATGAGGTGGGGGCTGGCTAGCTCTGGCTCCATTCTGAACAGACTCGTAGAGGGCCAACAGGGAGAAGCAAAGCTGGTCCTGCAGCAAAACATTCAGATAAAAAGCAGAGATGAATGCCAAAGGACCAGGCCAATGCTCAGCACCCCTGCTCACTTGATGCCTGAGTCAACCTTGCAGCCCCCTGTAGATACAGATGGTAACCCTTAGAGGGCCTGGACCCTTTCTACTTCCTACAGGCCAGGAAATGCTGCAAAGGGGAGACAACATCTTAATTTGGACTTCAAGGAAGCATAAAATCTTCAGTATCCCAGAGGCATGAAGGCAAATAAATGAATATAAAACATGCAATCTCTATGTATGTGGTATGAGGTATGTAAAAAAGATAAAAAAAATCTTTATTAAACAAAAATACCCCCCCATGAAGCTATTGTTTCCCCATGTATCTTCCAGCTAGTTTTATACACATCTGAAGGCAGTGTCTCCATCACTCTCTAAGTCTTACGAGTCGGGCTGCTACCCTCAAGGTCAGCAGTTTGAAACTACCAGTGGTTCTGCAGGAGAAGATGAGGCTTTCTGCTCCTGTAAAGATTTACAGCCTCGGAAACTCTATACAGGGTTGCTATGAGTGGGAACCGACTCCACAGCACATAACCAACAACAACCTTTCTCCACAGAAGTCTCTGCTCTTTGATAAGTCAAAGTAGACTTCCACGGTAAAACAGTAGTTTTGGCATCCCTTGGGACTCAGTAAGCATGGGCTGTTAACTGTAAGGTTGGCAGTCCAAACCCACCAGCCACTCCTCAGAAACCCTAAACAGGGTTGCTATGAGTCAGAACTGACTCGATGACATTTAACAACAATAAACAAGACCGACAAGTGTATTACTGAGAGACCTTGTCTGCAGCCATCCATGGATCAGAGACATGTTTACACGTTTTGTTTGGAATAAACACATGCATTTATAAACTGGAATCCTAGTAGCAATATTTTCTGACTTGCCACCACAGTACCCATTTTCTAAGACCCTGGATAGGAGAGAACCAGATACTTCATAAAAGGCATTCCTCACAACAACCTCATGAAGTCAGGATTTTTGATGATTCTCAGACTCGACAGCAACTAACATTTCACAAAGGAGAACGAGCCTCCGAAAGGTGCAGTAGCGTAAGCAGCAGAGGCAGGATTCCTCACCCCAAAGTCTCAGGCCATTACCTCAAACAGAAGAAACCCACCGGAAGGAAAAGTCTCTCATACATGTCAGCATTTGGTTACTTTCTCCCACATCTCGACTACCAGCCCCCTCTGTCCACTACACATGACCAGAAAAGTTGACAACCATCTTGTTCCTTAAGCCCCTAGCCCCCTGCTGTCCCAGACACTCACCTTGGAGTCTTCGACCCCAAAAGGGATGCCACACTGGCCCAGCAGTTGCCGTAGCTCCTCCTTGCTGTAGGAGCCAATCCGTTCAAGCTTGCAGGTCCCCTCCTGGAGCAGCCTCACCAAGGCACTACCACTGCCTGCAAGAGACGACAGACAGTGCCAACAGAGGTCACGGGTAGCCCCTCCCACGGGACCATGCCCTGAACCTGGGGGGCGGGCCTGGCTTATGGAACAGAAAGGCAAGGAAGCAGACTGTACTGATCATTTCTTTTGGGGCTGGGAGAGCTGGGATTCATGGCAGGTCAGTGACTTCCACAGCTGCTGAGATTCCTTAGAAGTGACGGGGTGCTGAAGCATTCAGAAGTGAGAAACCCAGTATACAGCCTTTGCCAAGGACCCCAGTATGGGTCAGCTTTTACCCCCAAATCTCCTGAGCTTTGTCAGAAGCAGTATTGCACATCCTTCACCAGAGGAGCAGCGTTCAGAAATACTCACTGCATGCCATGCTCTGGAGGCTGGCTAATGACAGAACCAATCAACAAACAACACCTAGGTCCAGAAACATCAAATATGAAGTGAGGCCTCAGTATCTAATGCTGGGAAACACTCTTTAAAGTGTGGATCACAACATATTAAAGTACTTATGAAATCAATTTAGCAGGTCATAGCCAGCATTTAAAAAATGAAATATACAAAAATAGAATATTATGTGTGCTGTACTTGGTAAGAACAAGTACTGCGTGGGGAACATTTTGTTGGAGTTACAGGTAAACACACATAAAGACATGGACAACATTCCTAGTTATTTTTTACTTAGTTGATATTTTTAAAAAACAAAACAAAAAACTGTCGCTATGTTACTGTTGTTATTAAGTGCCGTGGAGTTGGTTCAGATGTATAGGGTGGTTTTCAAGGAGCGACTGGTGGATTTGAACTGACCTTGTGGTTAGCAGTCCAGTGCTTATCCTACAGTGCCACACCAGGACCCTAACTATTTTACTAGCTCACTTTATCTTCACAGCTACCGTGGGGTCAGTTAACAGTGTAGAAGGAGCAACAGAGGCTCAGTGATGAAGGGACCTGCTAGAGGTTACACAGTGACTGGGCAGTACAGTTAGTAACCAAACCCAGGTTAATCCAGGACGTCTCACCTGGACACCCCGCTTAACCGGCAGATTCCCGGTCCTTTCTCCCTCCCTCCCTTCACATACTCAATAGCAAGCTGTGGGCTGGGACCCTCCTTGTCAGCATTTCCCTCCAGAGTCCCACCCCTCAGTGCAGTCCTTCCTTCCCAGAACAGTGAGCTGTGCATGCCCTTCCCTACAGTGTACCTGGTGACTCTCTGAAACTCTGTACTATGACTTCCACCTTTAGGACATTCTGTCACAGCTTGTCGTTTCCGTAACTCTGCATCATTTTTGCTACTTTGTCATGGACAATGTCCCAGACTTCCCTGGCCTCAGTTAGTCACCAGGTGGCCTTACCAGGTGCCGGCTGTACATCCAGGTTTTTGTCTTTCTCAGTGTTGACGACCACAGCTCCTCTCATGAGTGGTGGGAAGAAGGGGGCAATAACAGAGGCATCAAACTTGGTGATCGGAATGCTGGCGGGGAATGCCACCTGCTCAATCACCTCTGTCTCCATCGTGGCCCAAAAGTCCTCCATGTTTACCTCACTAGAGCCCAAGTACTCAGGCCAGGTGAACTAAAAAGTCAGGATAAAAAGATCATTAGTAACAGAGAAAGGCTCACTCCGTCTTTATATACAAAAAGAAACCAAAGAGTCGTGACAGAAATGCACTGTAAGGGCCTTTGAAAATCTGACAACTTAGTAAAAAGTGATTTTAGGTCCCAGGTCTTTTTCCCATGCTAAGGTGTCTCCCTTCCCACCCCACCAGAGTCCCTAGGCATGTTTCTGCTTCTATATTTTTGTGTCATTTCCCCTGATTTTCAAAGGGGAGCTATAGTAGTTAAGTGCCCAGCTGCTAACTGAGAGGTTGAGGGGTTTGAAGATCAAACTCCATGGGAGAAAGATGTAGCCATCTGCTTCTGTAAAGTTTACAGCCTTGGCACCACAGGTGGTGGGGGTGGTTAAGTGACACTGAGTTGGTTCCGACTCATAGTGACCCAGTATAGTGTTTCTGAGGAGTGGCTGGTGGGTTTGAACTGCTGACCTTGCGGTCCAGTGCTTATCCTATGGTGCCATACTAGGACTCCGGCACCAGAGGCACATACTGTCAGATACACAATCCTGCAACAGTGATCATCTATGAACAGATTCATAGACACACAGGCTGCATGGGCGAGGGAGGGAGAGCGGGAGGACATCCACAAATATATATCTACGTCTGTCCGAGAATACCAATAACTATTTACCTTTAATGTAAATAGATCCATGAATGTGGTGGAGCACACAGGCAGCTAAATTATGAAAACGTTTTAAAGATTAAACAAACACCTTAAGGGAATGAGTTGCTGGGCCGGGGAGTTCATGTAGTAAAGTAGTTCGTACCAGAGGAAGAACTGTGCATATGAAATAGGCAATAAACCTTAGCTGCATTATTAACATTACTCTGAGAGGCAATCAGACTAGAATGCATTTGGAAATAGTCTCCTGATGCGATAACAAATAAAAGCAACAGGTGATACAAGTAATAGCACAGATAAGTACATTTTTGGATAGGAGTCCATTTTCTTGGTAAATAGACATAAATGGGTCCAGGAGGCACTATGCTTATTTTCAGATGTCTTGTTATGCACCACCATGTTTCAAATTGAAACTAGCATTTTCTAAGTTTGCTTTTTAATTGGGAAGAAAAGGAGAGAACTATGCACGAAATTCCTAATACACCACAGACGTCCTGCAGAGGTTTCACCCTTCGGGGGGAGGAGGGGTGGGATGTGTGTGTGTATATACACCCTGGTCTTGTATGAATTAGGGAAATATGCCGAGCTTTCACTATTCTTTGCCTATGACTGGGATCATGTATTTCTTGAGTACTTGTTAGTATTAATCTCTAAAGCCATCTGAACTTGTTGCTTTCCACTATTTATTTTAAATCCTATTAGATTAGGTCACTTTTCCCCTCAACAGTTTTGCATTTCTCTGCCTAGACCTGGTGTGCAATGAACCTCTGAGGTTCTTCATTACACTGCTGCCCCCTCCCTCCCACTATCACACTGGCCTAGCAAGCTCTTGCTGCATCCTGTCCCTACTGCACCCCCTGGTTTGGAATATTCTGATCTGAAGCTACCTGGATCTGGATCTCCTACTAAAATATCACCATACCAGAGAGCCTTTCCAAGGCTTCCTTTCCATCACAGCTTTCTCATTCCCTACCCTTCCCACCCCTCATCACCGCCTGACGCATGTCTGCTTCGTCTGACCTCCACACCTGTGTGCACTCTGCAAGGATACTAACTTGTTTTTATTTTGCTCTTTCCATGTATCTAAAAAGTAAACCTAGTTCATGCTCAATACATTTGTTGAACATATACGTGAAGAGACAACACTTCTATTTCCTCTGGTCTTCCCCAGGTAAAACCCCTCAACAATGGCAGGGGAAAGCAACTCGCTTCACCCGGGAGAACACTGGAGTCCCAGCTATTCATCTGCCCGTGGGGACAACATGCAGGAAGACAGTTGCCAAGTGAGAGGACAGACAGTTGTTCTGTAAATGCACCCAGTGTGGCTGAGAGGCACTCACCTCCACACTCTTCAGAGCCAGCACATTGTCTTCACTCCTCTGAGCCAGTTCCACTTTGGGAGCCACACCACAGATGCCACAGATCATGTCATTGTAGTCTCGGACAGTGAGGCACTCAAAAGCCCAGTAGCCATTGCACAGCAGCTCTTGAAGCTGGTTCAGCTCCTCTGAGGCCAAAGTCTTCTCTGGAAAGAGAGCAAGAGCACCAAGAATGCCACAGAAAATGACTCTGAGGCCACAAGGGATGAACCAGCAAGAACAGCAATTTTCAAAAACTGTCTGTTCCCTTAAAAAGCTCAAGAGTACTAATTAGTCTTTGTGTGTATGTGTGTGTGTGTGTGTGTGGTGGGGGCATTGGGGGGCACTCTACCCTTTAAGTTCTTAGCTGACAACTCAAAGAGCAATTCCCATCAGAGTTACGTTTGCCACATACTAGGCACCTGCTAGGTCTGCAACACTGTGCTGAGAGCTTTACATAGATGATTTCAGTTAACTCTCACAACTGCATGAATCAGGGGCTAGTATTATCCTTAATTTAAAACTGGGGAAACAGCGCACAGTCACTTGCTCAGGATTGTACTGCTAAGACTCAAAAGCAGGCCTGCCTGACTCTAGAACCTCTGTTCTCTTCCATCTCTAAGCAAGGCACTGGGCAAGTAGAATCCATAGGAATGGGACAGGGAAACATACACAGAAGTATGGAGAGCTAAAGGGAAATCACTTCTATGAGCCCTCCGGCGTCCGATGAGCCTTGGGAATGGTAGCAGATATTCAGAGGCTGTACATTCAGAATGAGTCTGACTAATTTGTAGTGCCTATGATCAAAGGATCAAAGGATATGCTTCTAAAAGCCTGCTTTGATCTCTTGATGAGGGCTCTTGGATGCATGGAAAGACTTGAGCTTTCCAGGGGTAGATTTGCATTTGTAAAACACAAAGGGAAAATGCTCTGGGAGGCCAAGGAGGTCTTCTTTTCAATGTATTATAGACTTTCCCCCTCAAATGATCCTTTTAACCTAAGCCCATCACTGAGAAGTCCCAGGGCACTTCAGCCTAACCTTGGGAGGGAAGTAGCCAACCTTTACCTGTCTGTTCCTGCACTGACTTCAGAACCGCGTTGATGGACATTCGGGGGTCCTCTCCCAGCTTGATCTGGTTTCGGATGGCAAAAAGCAAGTCCAGGCTCACTAGCAGTTTGTTCCCCACATTAAAAAGACCTGCCAGGTTAAGATGCAACAGGGAAATTCACTGTTAATATCTATCATCCAATACGACAAACTGTGGTATTTTCAATAGCCTCATACGCATGTGAAAAGCTGGACAATGAATAAGGAAGCCTGTAGGAGAATTGATGCATTTAAATTAATGATATAGGAAAAGAATACTCAAAAAGTACCACAGACAGCCAGAAGCACAAACCAATCTGTTTTGGAAGAACTACAGCCAGAATGTTCCTTAGAATCCAGGATAGCCAGACTTCGTCTTTCATACTTCAAACATATTATCAGGAGGGACCAGTTCCTGGAGAAGGACATCATGCTTGGTACAGTGAAAAAGAGGAGCCTCCTAAGGAGACAGTACAGTGGAAGTAGCAATGAGCTCAAGTGTGACGATGATTGTGAGATTGGCACAGGGTTCAGCGTCTGGTGTGTATAAGGTTGCTATGAGTCAGAAAAGACTCAATGGCACCTAACAAATATGTAAGAAAAACTGGAAACAAGACTGAAATTATGGTGCATTCATAAAATAGAAAAGTGTGCATCATTAAAAATAAGGTAAGGTCTACATGCTCTGACATGAACTTGCCCACCCATTATTAAATAAAACAACAAATTTACATAATTGAATAATACGTATTTTAGAATCTTTATTTTTCAAACAAAAAAAATTCAGCAATTCCCTAAAACACCACCAGATCAGACCTTACAACCAAAAGAGTCACTCTTCTTCTACTTTCAACAGCTGTACCTGGAGAAGGAAGGCCAGGGGCACCCTTTAGCTCAGGGATGGGTAGGGGACAACAGGACAGAGAATAGAAAATCAACCCTATACCAAATCCTGGAATTAAAAAATAAATTTTTTTAAAAATCAAGAGGATTAAATGTAGTCAATTTAAGGTACATAAAAGAAGATGATTTTATATGGGCAATGTGTTTTCCCTAAAGAAGGTCCCAGAAGAGTGGAGGGGAAGGCATTTCTAAGCATGACACCATACTAAAGGCAGAAACCAGAAGGGAGATGATCAAAGCTCTGATACTACAATGAAAACAAAAGTAACTCAGGACCCTAACTCTCAGGGGACACCTTGGTCAACTGATATAACATAATCCACAAAGATAGTGTTCCACATTCTGCTTGGGTGAGTTGCATCTAGAATCTTGAAAGCTCATGAGTGGTCATCTAAGGAGCACCTATTGGTCTCTCCATGTGTGGAAGGAAAAAAGAGTGATAAGAATTGCAGAGGCTTGGAATCAATTAGTCCAATGGACTAATGGAACATGTGAACATAGTCTCCATGACCAGAAGACTAGATGGTACCCAGCTACCACTAACAACTGCCCTGAAAGGGGTCACATTATAGGGCCCTGGATAGAGTGGGAGAAAATGTGAAATAAAACTCAAAGCAAAAGGTCATTTAAAAAAACAAGAAAGAAGGAAAACAGCAAAATGGATGTCAGAAGAGACTCTGAGACTTGTTTTCCAGTGTAGACGATGCCAAAGCAAATGGAAGATTATGAGGAAGTGAAAGAGCTGAGCAGAAAATTTCAAAGGGCAGCTTGAGAAGACAAAACCAAGTATAATAATGAAATGTGCAAAGACCTGGACTTAGAAAATCAAAAGAGAAGAACCCAGCAGGAGACAGCGGAAGAACCAGATAGCTAGGGGAACACTGAGACAGGTTTGCATGTCCTAAGTGGGACAGAAAGGAGCTCTGGTAGCGTAATGGTTACGAATTGGGCTGTTAATCTCATGGTCAGCAGTTTGAAACTACCAGCTGTTCCACGAGAGAAAGATGAGGATTTCTGCTCCCGTAAAGATTTACAGCCTTGGAAACCCTGTACAGGGTCACTATGAGTCGGAACCGACTCCACGGCACATAACAACAAGTGGGACAGAGGTAAATAATGATGTATGCTCAACCTTGGAACAACAGGGCTCTGGGATACAGGGATCTAGGTATAGCTTGAAGAGGGGAAATAATACTGAAATTCTTGACTGTCTTATGAATATTAGTTTCCCTTGCCTACTATTGTAAAACAGACACTTGAGTGGGATAGAAAGGAACGCTGGGAAACATGATTTCAGAAAAGTTGTAATCCCATCTTCAGCCTATAACGGACCGGAATACCTAAAAGGGGTTCTAGAACTTGCCCAGTGAAATAAGTCTCTTGCAAAGCCTTTGCAGAGTATAGGACCTTAGGTGGAATCCTGGGTCCCATCCAGAACCTTATGAGGTGGGGCATTCCCGCTAGAAAGGACGAGCAAACCAGCCTGGAACAGCTACAGTGAAAGAAGATACATCTTCAAAGAAAGATCATCAGGAAAAACCCAAAACAAAAACATCAGCATGACTGGCTACTACAAGAATAAGCAAGGTGTTCACCAGAAAGACATCAAGGTTAGCAATCAAGTTCCTTCAGGACAAACTCCCCTCTAAGACTGAAACTCAAAGGGAACACACAAACAAGCATGTAAGCTTGCTGGTGACCACATTGGTCTACTGGTGAATGGAAGGGACGGAAGGCAGCAATGAAGAAATGTGCGGAGTTCAACCACAGTCCATTGACTCCCGTTGACCTGGAGATGAGAGAGAGAAGATGAAAGGCTGGTTGGTCCAAAGTGTGGTGAGACCTGAGGACACTTGAGCCCATGGACAAGGACATAGCCACAGAGGGCTAGAGCTAAGAGTGAAGCATCCAGCTGATATGAAGTGAGGGGAAATACACAAGAACACCCAGACTTGCAGACAGTACCCATTTGATCTAGCCTTAATGGCTTGATAATCAGAACTCAACTAGAGGAAGACGACCAAAAAAAAAAATTGTTTTTTGATAAAGGAAACTAAGGTAAATTGCTACAATTTGATGAAACTGACCTATACTCAAAGAGGTAGTTACTCTAAATACCAACAGAGAGGGAAGGAGTCTTCACATCAAATATCAGTGCTATCCCATCTGTACACAGGGTAGATAGGGAGGGGCAACTTAGACACTGGCTACCTAAAATGATGAGGCGATAAAAGTACAAAGAGACCTTTCAAGAGGGAGTTTAGTTTAAGAGTATGGGGTGGTGAAGAAAGAGTCCCCATTGAATAGATTTCATCTTGTCTAGATGGGCCTGGTGAAAAGAGATGGGGATAAGATTCTTATGATTCAACAGTGAATCATTGTTATCATGACTAACTGTGACTGTCACAATTGTAAAGGTAGAAGTTTTGTAACAAAAACAAGGGAGTGGTTAATCTTACAGTCCAGAAACAGAGGATCCTAGGACCATCAAGGGAAAAGCGCACAAGCAGAATGCAGGACCTTATCCAGAGGAGCAGTGACGCCAGAGACAGAGGTAGAGATGGGGGCATGGAGAGGGGGAGCAGCTGAGGACTCCAGATTCATTGGAAAAGAGGGACTAAGAGCTGATGGCCAGGAGACAGACTTGCAGAATGTGCCCTTTGGAGATGTAAATTATTATATATGCCTGAGTGGTTTTATTTTTTTTAAAAAAAAAGCTAAAGTGGATAGAGAAAAATACTGTTAACTGATGGTACATGGAGGAGATTATAATCATTGTAATGAAACAAGGTATATGATTTGTTGAACGAAAAACTGATGATCTGCCCTGTAAACTTTCACTCAATCCACAATAAAAACCTTAAAAAAACAAAAAAAAAAAAAAAAAAAAAAACAAGAGAAGAACCCACTCTGCATTTTCAAGCTGAAAGAACTGAGGAAAAAATTCAAGCCTCGAAATGAAATACTGAAGGATTCTTTGAACAAAATATTGAATGATGTAGAAAGCATCAAAAGAAGATGGAAGGAATACACAGTTACTATATAAAAAAGAATGGTTGATGTTCAACCATTTCAAAAGGTAGCATAGAAACCCTTTACAGGGTAACTGTGGGTTAGAACCAACTCAATGGCACTTAAAAACACACAAAAAAGTATGATCAAGAGCCAATGACACTGAAGGAAGAAGTCCAAAACATTGTTGTTAGGTGCCATTGGCAAAGAACAAGGCACCAGGAATTGATGGAACACAAACTGAAATCTTTCAACAAACGGATGCAGCTCTGGAGGCACTCACTCACTCATCCATGCCAAGAAATCTGACTGAAAGAGAGCTATGTGGCCAACTCATTGGAAGAGATCTGTATTTGTTATCATTCCAAAGAGAGATAACCCAGCCGAATGTGGAATTCACTGGACAGTATCATTAATATTACAAGCAAGTAAAATTTTGCTAAAGAATTCAAAAAAGGCTACAACAGTACATTGACAAGGAACTGCCAGAGGTTCAAGCTGGATTCAGAAGTGGACGTGGAACGAGGGATATCATTGCTGACGTCAGCTGGATCTTGGCTGAAAGCAGAGAATACCTCAAAGATGTTTACCTGTCATTTATTGACTATACAAAGGCTTTCAATTGTGTGGATCATGACAAACTATAGACAATACTGCAGAGAATGAGTATTCTTAAACACTAAATTGTGTTCATTACGAATCTGTACGTACACGAAGAGGCAGAACAGAACAGAACAAGGAACACTGAATGACTTAAAATTAGGAAAGGTGTTTTTTCACCATGCTTATTCGGAAAGGTGTTTTTTCACCATGCTTATTCAATCTGTATGCTGCACATAATCTGAGAAGCTGGATTATATGAAGGATGTGGCATCAGGATTAGTGGAAGACTCATTAACCACCTATCATATACAAATGGTACAATCTTGCTTTCTGAAAGCAAAAAGGGCATAAAATACTTACTGATGAAGATCAAAGACCACAGTTTCGGTATGGGTTGCACCTCAATGTTAAGAAAACAAAAATCTTCACTAATAGACCAATAAACATCCATATAAATGGAGGAAAGATTGATGTTTTCAAAGATTTAATTTTGCTGGGATCAACCATCAAGACTCAGGAAAACAGCAGTCAAGAAATCAAATGACTTATTGCATTATCTCATGCTTTGGACATCTTGTCAGGAGGGACCAGTCACTGGACAAAATATCATGTTTGGTAAGGTGGAGGGTCAAAGAAAAAGAGGAAGACCCCCAGCAAGATGGATTGGCAAAGTGGCAGCATCAATGGGCTCAAGCGTGGCAACAACTGTGAGGCTGGCCTAGGACCGGGCAGTGTTTCATTCTGCTGTGCATAGGGTCGCTATGAGTTAGTACCGACTCGATGGCACCTAAGAACAACAACATTGCATTAAGCTAAACTGGTGCACAAGATCTCTTTAAAGTGTTCAAAGGCAAAGATGTGAGTGTGAAGACTAAACTGTGTCTGATCAAAACCACTCGATGGCAATAGGTAGTAGGGTTTTTAAAACATGTATTACATTCAGTTGTCCCAGGGTATCTGCAGGGGCCTGGTTCTAAGACTACTTGTGAATCGCAAAGTCTGAGGATGCTCAAGTCCCTTATAAAACGGTGTTGTGTTTGCACATAATCCTCTTGTATACTTTAAATCATCTCTCAATTTCCTGTCATACCTAATACTGTATAAATGCTATGTAGATAGATAGCAGTGTACCCTTCCTCTTAGCCTTTGAAGCATTGCTTTAACCACTTACCTGCTTCCCTCCCACCACCCCGCATCTGAGAATGCAGAACCAATAGAAACAAAAAGGCCAAATGTACTTTTGTTCAAAGAAAAACCTAGAAACATTTCAGTGCTTCCACACTGTACAGGGTCACTATGAGTCAGAACCAACTCCATGGCACACAGCCACCACACTTTAATACTCTATACTGATTTTACATATGATTTTATATATTGAGTAACGTCATCTGAAAGATTATAAACAGCAAAATATTAAGTGTTTCTCTCCTGGCAATGTTGTTGTTGTTAAATGCTATCAAGTCGGTTTCAACCCATAGTCACCCTGCATAGTGTTTCGAGGAGCAGTTGGTGAGCTTGAATCGCCAACCTTCAAGCAGCTTTGCAGTCTGGCACATTAACCCAGTGTCACCCCAGGACTTCTCTCCTAGCAATTGTTGTTATGTGCCATAGAGTCGGTTCCGACTCATAGCTACCCTGTACAGGGTTTCCGAGGCTGTAAATCTTTACGGGAGCAGAAAGCCTCATCTTTCTCCCGCGGAACAGCTGTAGTATCAAACTGCTGACCTTGTGGTTCGCAGCCCAATTCGTAACCACTACACTACTAGAGCTCCTTAATAGGATCAGATAAATTTCCTTTTCATATCTGCATTTTCCAGCTTTTCCACTCCAAAGATGTTATCATTAAATTCAATCTCATTGTAAAGATCCCCGATGATAGAGTCCTAACACTGGAGAGGTCAATGTTATTTTCTGGGGTTGAGGCATTCAGGAAGAAAACCCCCTCCTCCCCAGAGCTCAAAGGAGCAGTGGTTGGCCCCATGGAGGCTGTTTTCCAGACTGCTTTGGAGGCCTCTGTAGGAAGAGAAGATTGGCACCCACCTGTGTAGATGTCCATGAAGCTGTGCAGGGCCAGACAATGAGGGTTCAGACACATCTTTACCTGGGCAGTCACCACCTGCAGCCGGCTAGCTGTCAGCAGCCAACATTCCTGGGGCCCGGCCAGGGAGCTAGTAACAAAAACACCACGATACAGAAGGGAAATTCTTAATTGACATCAAGAACTCAGTATCAACAGTAAAACGCTCACAACATGAGTCCACCAGGCAAATGAAGGTGGTGGAGCTTGGGTTCCAAGGTTTTCTAGCTGTGTACTATTCCTCAGGTTGCATCTGGTCTGTGGAATACTGTTCAAGCTAATATAACACTCAACTTCCTAATGCTTTAGCCAATTCTACTTAACACCCAAAGCTAAACATTATGCTGGGTGGACTAGATGTAAACTCAATCCTAAATTAGTGATAAAACACTTTCAGGCATTTTCAGCAGAAATAATTACTAATTACTATAATTATCACTTTAGCAATTGGAAAGGTGAAGGAACACCTAAGAAAACCAGAGAATAACATCTTCAGAGGGTAGTTTTAAGGTGTCTGCAGAAAGGGGTATACAGGTTCAGTGAAACAGGGCGGCTAAGGGCAGGATAAATCTGGAAGGGGTGCTTACTTCTGTCCCCCTTTGAATAAGGAGCTGCCACAGAGAAGGCACTGCGTGGATGGAGACTCGTAGTAATTCGACCAAGATGTTTGCTCTATGGTGACTGTCTCCTCACTCACGTTGGACAGGATGAGTCGAGAGCTGTTGAGCTCATGAATCAAGGCGAAGACCTCAGTCAGCTCTGACTCATTCTCAGGAATCTGCAGGACTTTGCGTAGCAGCTGCAGAGTGGATTGGCGCTGGATCTCCTTCTGTGGTGCACTCAGGGGCTCTGTGGCACTCAACACATCCGGGAGCGGTGAGCTCACCTCCTGCAAATACAGTGGGTGGATCACTAAGCATGCGGGGCAGAAAGGGTTAGCACCAGGTCAAAAGAACATAAGACTCTATGTGGCAGAGAGGTGGGCCCGTGACTGAGAGATGGGAAACCTAGGTTCTTAACCAGCTCTGCTTATAGCTCACTGTAGGACTTAAGGCAGCTGTGTTCCCTCTTTGGAGCTCAGTTTCTCTACCACTGAAGTGAATTTATTATTTCTCTTGGTAATAGATTCAAGAGTCAGCTCCCACGCACAAGCTATGTAACTGACTTGGGTTTGAGTTCTGCTATGGCACTTAACAACTGGACATGTGTGAGTGAAGGCAACTTACTTAACCTTTCTAGGTGTCAATTTCCTCAGCTATGAAATAGCAATAAAGAACCTGCTAATCCTGGTGTGGCGTTGTGGGTTAAAGAGCCAGACTGCAAAGCTGTTTGAACTGCAAGGTTGGCGGTTCAAAGCCGCTCCTCGGAAACGCTACACAGGATCACTATGGGTCGGAACCGACTCGATGGCACTTAACAACAACAACAACAATCTCTGATAGCTGTTGTATGGCAAAATGAGATATTACAAGCCCTTAGCAGTGTCTGGGATGCAACTATTACCCCGTGAATGGTAGTTTTGGAAAATAAACAATCGGTATTGCAAGCCCCTGTCCCAACAAACACCAAAGTATCTGTTTTTAATTCTTTGCAGCTTCCAGGTACCAGGTAACTTTATATACCAGTCAGAAGTTTCCAGAAACAAGGCTCAAAGACATGGATTAAAAACAGGTCCTGCTTAGGCAGGCCCCTTTTCTCTGGCAGCTCTTCCATGGTTCCCTTCATTAATGCTGAGTTAATTATGCCCTCCTCCTTCAGGTTCAAAATTCAGCATCTCACAGCTGGTAAACACTGGTCTCTCCTCTTATGTTAGAAGAAAGTCTCTGCTTATTTACTGATCCTCAATTGCAGCATGAAGAGGAATTTTGATCCCACAAAGACCTGAAGCCTTGAAAACCCTATAGAGGGTTTCCTATGAGTTGAAACTTACTCCCCACTGCACTAAACAACAATAACAGCCTGAAGTCATACATGGTTGGATATACTATGCATTGCTTTGTAGATGTTAATCACAACAAAGCTTTCATTTAACTCTGCGGACCTATGATAATTCTTGTCTACAGTAACTTGGTTACTTATCTTTCTCCCCCATTAGGCTGTAAGCTCCTCACAGAAAAGGGCCATGACCTGTTCATCTTTGTATCTCCAAAGCCTGGCCCATAGATACATTCAATATATTAGTTGAAGAATGTGTGAAAAGAACTGACTGATTCTAGACTGAGCTACCCTGGGAAATTGTGTGTGCCCTGGAATGACTATGCTGACCGTGGGTTAGAAGACCACTTGGCAGGAATGCCATCCTTTGACTCCAAGCCAGAGATAAAGGATGGAAAACACTGAAAAACATTCCAGTCCAGCAATACTGTAGGCTTAGTTACAGTTGCTGAGCATAAACTACGTAGGAAATGGATCGCCACCAGGGGGCTCCAAAGAGCAACAAGCACAAAGGCCCCTGGATTTCAGACCTGTGTCCTTTGAAAACCAGTAGTTCATTCTGTCTCTCTCAAGTTTCAGAAACTAAAAGGTAAGGGTATGCCTGAAGATGTAGGAAGGTCTCAAGGTGAGAGTCCTATGGGTGGGCAGCTACCAGTCAGTCAAAGAGAGAGGCAGTAAATAATAGTGGTATTTGTAATCAATTGGCAGGAAGCCCCCAAATTCTGCTGGACCTGGAAAGTTAAATCAACGTATCATTTCTAGATCTTGAAGGCAATACCTGTTTCCATACTGCAAACTCCAAAAATACATCACAATGAGACAGAAGGCAAACTACTATTCAAAGCATCTGCCTACACACAATGATAGGCCAGCATATTATATGTGCAAACTCCAGAATTTTATAAAAGAGTTTACAGTCTCCTAAGACCATATGTAAAGGAGCTCTGGTAGCATAGTGTTATGAATCGGGCTGCTAATCTCAAGGTTAGCAGTTCGAAACTACCAGTGGTTCTGCAGGAGAAAGATGAGGCTTTCTGCTCCCGTAAAGATTTACAGTCTCGGAAACCCTATGCAGGGTCACTATGGGTCGGAATCGACTTGACAGGCACTTAACAACAACAACAACAACAAGACCATACATGGCACTGTGGGTTAATGCGCCAGACTGCAAAGTCATCTGAACTGCAAGGTTAGTGGTTCAAGCTCACCAGCTGTTCTTCGCTATGGGTCGGAACAGACTCGATGGCACTAAACCTAGACCATAAAGGAGTCCTGGTGTAGTGCTGTAGAAGCACTAGACTGTGATATCAGTGGTTCAAACTCATCAGCAGCTCCCTGGAAACCCTATCCAGGGTAGCTATGAGTTGAATCGACTCGATGGCACTTAACAACAACAAAGACCACAAAGACATGCAGTCAAGAAAGGATATGATCAACATTATGGACAGAGGAGCATATCATCCATCTCATGGAGAATCCACGAAAAGCAGCTCACTTCCAGCAGAGGGGACTTGACAGAGAAACAGAACTGGATGGAAGCTATGGACCCCTTTTACATACAACTTCTTGGGTTTACAGACTCCTGTAAACTTGGGGTCTTGCTGAGGTGTTCATGATTTTGAGAGTAAAACCCGATGTTGAGTCCACCTTGTTTTACCCATGTGGTGGTGATGTGCTGTGGAGTCGGTTCCGACTCATAGCGACCCTGTACAGGGTTTCCGAGGCTGTAAATCTTTACGGAAGCAGAAAGCCCCATCTTTCTCCTGCGGAACAGCTGGTAGTTTCGAACTGCTGACCTTAAGGTTCGCAGCCCGATTCGTAACCACTACACTATCAATTTGTTGTTGTTGTTGTTGTTAAGTGCCATCGAGTCAGGTCCGACCCATAGCGACCCTGTACAGGGTTTCCGAGGGTGTAAATCTTTACGGGAGTAGAAAGCCTCATCTTTCTCCCGCGGAGCGGCTGGTAGTTTCGAACCACTATCAATAGGGAAACAAAATTCAGAAGACAGAAAGTTTCCAAGCGGACTCACTCCCAATCATGCCTCCCAATTCCTAGCTCCAAAGCTTTTCCCCACTAAGCTCTCAGTGCCTACAGACTTTAGTTCCACTTCCATTTATCACAAGAGCCAAAAACCTCACAATGCCTCAAGCACAGCTGAGGAGACCACAGAGTGAAAGTCACCTGCCAGAAAAGCCCTTCCCCATATGCAAAGAAACCTGTAAGTCTGAAACAGTTGTTCTCATATTTCTAGTTCTGTCCACTCCCAACCCCCACATCTCCTTCCTAAAGCAGCATTCCTTCTGGGCCTCTACCTGGCTCAATGACATTCAGTGGGATCCCACTGCCTACAGAACGAATTACCAGGCCTGTCATTCCAAACCTTACATAATGTGGCCCTATTATGTTTTTCAGGAGTCCTGGTGTGGCGCTGTGGGCTAATGCACCAGATTGTAAAGTCATTTGAATCACAAGATCGGTGGTTCAAGCTCACCAGCAGCTCCTCGGAAATCCTATACAGGGTTGCTATGGGTCAGAACCAACTCGACGGCACTTAAGAACATCACCAACTATGTTTTTCAAGTCTTATCTCCCATAGTGCCCTTCCCCTCTCCTCTAGCTAAATGAAACACTCACTAACTCCCTATTCTTTTTGCTTATTCTTGAGTATGGCATGCTTTGTTTCCCCTTAGGCGTAGAGTGGTCCAGGCTCAATGTCCTGGATCCTGGCCTGTTCCATGTGCCATCTCCCTTGCCACAGGCAGATGAGTAACATTTCCCTTCTTACCCGCATCCTAGTCATCCTAATCATGGCCTTAGATGTTGTCACTTTCTTGATTACTTAAAAAAAAAACTTGCACGCAAAAAGTGAGAACACCTTTGAAAACGCCCATTTCTGCTGTGTCACTAGCCAAATAGTTTGGCCTGACTTCAGAGAGCAGATTTGCCAAGACTACTAGACATAAAGCTTTGAGATGAGCAGAAACACTTCGTAAGAAACCGGTGAGAGAAACAGTGATTTAATCTAAAACCTTGGAACTGGCACCCTCTATTTACTATAAGAATAAATCAATTTATAGCTCTTCCATCAGACCTCAAAGCTAAAGGACAACCCTTTCATCCCTTTCCTCTTCCAAAACCGATTTCAAGGCCTGCGCAGTCATTTTTCTTGGTGAGCCACCTCTAGGCCCACTTGCACCAGAGTTCCAGGTTGAGGGCACCCACCCCGGAGGCGCAGAAGAGAGCATCTGTTCAGGTTCACAGCCTGTATGTAACCTGGTTTCAGTTCTGCTGCGTAACTATTATGGTGTAATAAGATAAACCTGTGTCTCCATGAAACTAGGTTTACTGACAGAACCAACCACCCAATCCCGAGGCCAGGGCAGGTGTTTGGGAAGGAACTCACAATAGCCTTGCTGGTTTTCTCAGTCCGGTCTTTGGCAAGGTTAAAACCACAACTTGGACAAATTCGCGGTTTGTGCCGGTTGGTGTAGACATAGCTACAAGAGGGATTCTTGCACTTCCCCCGGCCTCGTGATGTAGCCAGGCCCAAGTCCTAAAAAAGTAAGATCAACATTCGATTTTATGAAAGGTAAATCATACCTGGACAAAGCTAAGAATCATGGTGACTAGACACCAGTAAATTCGAGACGAGATGTTCAATGGCAAAACCAGAGTTAGCCTAACTATCAAAAAGCCATGAAGCACACCAATGTTCATAGCAGCACTGTTTACAATAGCAAAAAACAGACAGCCAAAGTGCCCATCAACTGAAGAATGGATAATCAAACTGTGGTAAATACACACAATGGAATATTATGCTACCTTGAAGAATAACAAGGAAGCTTCACAGTCACTGCTTAACATGGATGAACCTTGAGGACATTATGTTGAGTGAAATTAGTCAGTCACAAAAGGAGAAATGCTGCATAGGACCTCTATTGTAAAAGACTAAGAAAAAGAACCTATATTAAAGGGTGGGGGGAGAGGGATTCTTTGCTGGTTGCTGGGATGTGGGGTGAGGAGAGAGAGGGAAGGTGGAGAACAGGGCAGGGAATAGACCCCGGATAGTTTGGGTGCTACGGAGGGGGCAATATACAAGAAGGGGGAGGGGAATGGAAGAACAGACCAGATGGGAGAACAATTAGGCAGGTTTGCATGGGCTAAGTGGGACAGAGCTAAAGAATGATGTACGCACAACCTTGGAACAACAGGACTCTGGGATACAGGGATTGAGATATGGTTGGAATGAGGAAAAAATGTTAAGATGCTTGGCTGTCTTTTGAATCTTGGTTTCCCTGGCATACCATTATAAAATAGACACTGAAGGTGGAGAGAAAGGAATAGCCAGAAATATCAACATAGAAAGCTTGTAAGTCCATCTTCTGCCTATAACTGATTGGAATACCTAAAATGGGGCTACAACATGCCCAGTGAAGGAGTCTTCTTGTGGAGCCTCTGCATTACATAAGACTATAGTTGGAATCCTGAACAGCAGCCAGAATCTTCAGAGGTGGGAAATTTGCACTTGAAAGGACAGGCAGACCAGACTGGAGAGGCCAGGAGAACAGAAGATACTTCTTGAGAGAAAGACCGACAGGAAAAATACAAAACAATATAGGCAGTCTGACTGATTACTTACTACAAGAACAAGCAAGTTGCTCACCCAGAAGACATCAAGGCAAGTGGTTTGGTCCCCTCAGAGCAAACCCCCTTCCAAGACTAAGACTCAATGGGAATACACGCTCTGATTGGTGACCACGTTCACCACCGATAAGGGGAAGTGAGGGAAAAACAGCAATGAAGTTGTGAGTTAAGTCCTACAACATTCAATAGACTCCTGTGAACCCAGGTGGAGTCCTGGTTGGCCAGCAGTGTGGCAAGACCTAGGGACTCTTGGCCCAGCGTCAGTGACATAGCCACAGAGGACTAGAGTGGACAGTGATGCATCCAGCTGATAAGAAGAGAGGGCATTGCACAAGAACACCCACACTTGCAGATAATACCCACTTGAGCTGGCTTCAATGACTGGATGATCAGAGCTCAACTAGAAGAAGAAAGAAGAGGGAAAAAAGAGTAATCTGATACAATTTGATGAACTTGACCTACACCTATGGATGCAGTAGCTCAAAACAAGGAACAAATCTTTACAGCAAGGATCATTCCCACCCCCTCCATACACAGAGTAGACAGGGATGGGCAACTTGGACATTGGCTACCCAAAGTGGGGGGGCTAACAAAGGCAAGAAGTGACTGGTTTACAAGCTTTCAAGAGGGAACCTAGATCCAGAGGGAGTGGAGTAAGGTAGAATCTCCACTGAGTAGTATCCAATCTGTCCAGGTGGGGCTGATGTAAGGAAATGCGATTAGGTCTCTTATGATAAAATAGTGAATAACTGTTATCAGGACTGATTGTGAGGGTTAGAAATGTAAAGGCAGATGTTTTGTAGTAAGGAGGGGAGTGATTAACTTTGCAGTCTAGGAGCGGAGGTCTCTAGGACCATCAAGGGAGAAGAGCAGAGAGCAGAGAGTGGGATCCTACCCAGAGAAACAGTGATGCCAGAGATGGAGGCAGAAATAATGATGTGGAGAGATGGAGCAGCTGGAGACTTTAGACCCAGAGAGGGAGAAGGGCTGTGTGCTGTCAACTGGGGGGGGGGAACAGGCTTGTAGGGTGTGTATACCCTTTGGTTGGTTGATGATGCATGGAGGGGATTGTAACCATGGCAATGAAACAATCTACAATAGGATGAATGTAAAACTAATGTTCTGCCATGTAAACGATCACATAATTCACAATAAAATGATAAAAATAAAAAAGCCATGAAGTCATATTCCTTTCTATAGTTATCCCCTTTCATTTTAATATAAATTGCATAATTTTGGCAAGTCCTCCCCCATCTGTAAAATAAGTGAACTGACTCTCAAGGTCAAAAAGTCAAATCCTTTAGCATCCAGGTATTAGCTTGCTGTAACACAGAACACCAGAGAATGTGATAAAATTGATTTCAAGTCCTGCCTAATGGACAAACTGAGATTTCTGGACTTTATCCCAAAGATGTGACATCTATGCTCAAACAAGCTACTGTCCTAATCAGCTGGAGAGAAGGTCTGGCAGTTCCCACTGGATGGTAAATTAGAGACAGTACCACAATAAGATGTCGTAGGAGAGTGGTGTCTTGTAGCTAAGAGATACAGAGGAAGACACTGCAGCGGGCTTAGACAACTATCAGATCTCCAAGGTAAGTGACACTACACTCTTAGGAACAGGTCAGAACTAGGGCTTTGACACAAATCAGGTCCTTAATATCTTCAAAATAAAGAACCTGTGATAATTAGGTTCTGTATCAACTTGATTGAGCCAGCATTCCCAGTTGTTTGGCAGTTGATAGTTAACTCTATGATGATTGGCTGAGTAGCCAACCAATTGAAGGGATGTTTTCTTGGGTATGGCCCACTCCCAGTGTAATGGACATGTGGAAGAGACTTGCACTCTTCCTTTTTGAACCTGTTTGCTTTTATCATAATCACAAAGAATGAAGAGCCTGGAGTGGAATGCATCCTTTGGATCCTGTGCTGAGAACCTTCTTGATCCAGGAGACAGAGAGCTGTGACAAAGGAGACGGTGAAAGACAGCAAGAAGCAATGGCAGAGAAACAGCGGCAGCAGAACCAACCAGCATGAACCCGAGCAGTGGGTTTCCCCGACTCCTGAAGAAGAGGAGTGCCTCCAGGCATCTGGAGAAGCTAGATTTGCCATGGAGCTAGAGCTGAACACCTGCAGGCTTACTGGTGGAGCAGGGTGCCTCCGGGCATTACTGGCAGTACTAAAAGAGCATTGTAACACTTGCCTGAGCAGGGCAGAGGCCAAGAAGCTGAGGGTCATAGAGGAGTGTGCTCTGGTGGAACTGTTGAGAAGCTGTTCTGATGGAAAAATTCCATCCTGATTAGTTTCTGAACTTGAAATGTAACCTGTTACTTCCCTAATAAACCCCATAATCATGAGTATTGTTCTTGTTTTGTGTAACTACTGCAACAAATCATCAAACTGTGTAAAGAAACAGTTTGTAGTGGGACAAGTAGTTGGTGTCAGAACTGGTAAAAAAAAAAAGCTTAAGGGTGAAGGCATGCCTGACTTCTGACCTCTACCCTCATAGGCATCAGTCTTGGGTTGTTGATGCTGAGTCTTCTCCCATCCTTGTTAAGTTAGAGAAGGTCAGACTTGGCCACATGCCATTTTTGAAATTTTATAGGAGGCAGCTTCAAAACATTCAGAAAAAATTCCGTATCTCTCCATTCCATTTTCCATGAATTTTTGGAAGCCCCTCATAGATGGTGAGACCTATTATTATTAGGAAGGAAAGAATCTTGCCCAAAGCCATATGGCACATTAGTGGCAAAGCCAGAATCCTTTTGGACTAGGCCTTTGAACTGTTTGGTGTTTATTCTGCTGTTACATATTTCTTATCCTGCAAAATGACGACCCCAGAGTTACATCTGGGATGTTGAGATGTTTCATGTTAAAGATAAAAAGGAAGGAAAAAGGGGAAACACTGGTGGGAAATGCTAGGCTAACCGAAGAAACTGAGATACTTTGTAAACCCTTTACACACTAGTACTGAATATTCCCCCATTTTAGAGAAGAAAAGTGCAATGCTTCCCAATCTCATCTGTAGAAAACACTTTCTAAGCTCAAAGATTCAAAGGTAGGTGGATATTAAAGTTGGACTGTATTCTCATCTCTTTACTATGCAATAACAATGTATCCTGATCTCATTTCACTTGGAGAGAAAAAACAACACAGCAGGTTTACTCAGTAGTGGTCATCTGTATCAGTGATGGGACCCTCAGCCTCAGTGACCTATACCTTACTTTGCTTTAAATACCAACTACCCACCCCACTTCCCCACACCCACCATGCACCCTCAACCACAGAATCAAAACCACCTCTATATCAATCCACCTGGTCACATTACTTACCAGTGTGACAGTACAGCTGTACTTGTACGGAGGAAACAGATCAGGCTTGACCTCCACAACTTTCACCTGAGATGTCTTGTGGGATGGGCCATTTGGTAGCTGTGGATCAGAATACACTGCTTAGTGCTTTTAAACCTCTGCCTCCTTCCTCAGATCTTGTGTCCTGAAACAGCTTGATGAGATCATTTCCAGGGGGATACTGACGGGTACATTTTGGGCTGCTGGCCAGCAGTCACCCAGGCCACCAATGGCTGAGTGTCACTTTCAAGTCCAGACGTCACCACACTCTTCTGGGCAGCCGCTAACAATGCATATTAGAAACACTATGCACTGAAGTTACCTGCTCTCATAAAGATTACAACCTAAGAAGCTGTCTGAGGCCATTGTCTTCAAGGGTCACTATGAGTCAGAATTGGTTTGATGGCACAGCAACAACAAAGAGTCATGATCCTGGACTGGAGGGGAAATGCTACAAAGGACACAACTGGGTACCACTGACAAAAGGAGAGTATCGTTGCTACATTAAAGTACTATACTCCCGATCCTTAGCAAACACACACTAAGCATTAAGGAGTAAGGCCGTACAAGTTACCCTGGATTTATGTATACTTTACATATGTGCACACACACACATACAACATACACAAACACATGGGAGGTAGGGAGCAAGCATGAGCACAAATGATAAAGCAAATGGGTTAGTATGCTAACAACACCAACTCTGGGCAAAGACTATTTATGTGTTCTTTGCATTTTTTCATTTTGCAAATTTTGGGGTAAGTTTTAAATTATTTCTAAATAGCAAGTTTAAAACCATACACTCATTTTATTACAAGAAAGAAACTACTGAAAAAAATAGAACTTAACAGCAACTTTTTAAAGATGCTGTCCAAAGGAAAACAGACGTGGAGCAGTCTGTGGGAACAGCAGGAGACACTTGTCCAGGTGTCTTCAGGTGATAGTGATGCAGTGAAGGTCTGCTATATCCTATGTGAAAAACATAGCAGAATCCTGGGAGTTCACACAGAAAAGTTAAAGCCTGAAATGAGATGCAAAAGCTGGTGAAGATACAGCCTGGCAGATGATCTATGGTTGTCACTGTGAAGTGCCGTCGAGTCAGCATAGGGTTTCCAGGAGCGGCTGATGGATTTGAACCACCAACCTTATAGTTCAAACCAACCCTGTGGTCTAGTGATCATCCTACAGTGCCACACCAGGACTCCATTTCATTTCAAGATGCGGCATTTGCCTTGACTTGGATAACTCTGTGTATACAGAGTGTTCAGTGAAGACAAAATCTGGATATCATCATGAGTGGAGAAAATATAATTACATGAAAGAATGTGTAAGTTTTATGCGTGGTTTATCTCTTAATAAAGTCATTCATGGTAAACTACCTCCAAAGATCTGTCTTTTATCTATAGCGTTGATATGCTAACTGGAAGCCCTGGTCTCAGAGCTGCCAGGCCCCCAGACAGCTCCCACTCTGGGAAATGGTCTTACCTTCACCTCACCAGTGTTGGATGGCTGCTGGATGGGCTGGCCCAGCTGTTTCAGTGTGCTTGGCTTCAGGCCACAAGTCCTCATAGAGGGAGTCTTATCTGAGATAACCAAGAGTCAAACTGGTGACTTAACCGCATTCAGAATCTCCCAGGTCTCTCATTCCCATTCTCAACTCCTTCCCGGCCCCCTCCCTTCACACAGCCCCTCTTCCCACGTCTGCCCTAGCACTTACCACTCAGGGGGAAGGCCTGCCTAGCCCTAGGCAGTCCTGTGTTGCTGCCTCGCCCCACGCTGGCTGGAGCTGGGAGAATTGCTCGCATGGGTCTTGCTGCAGCCAGTAATGAGGGCTTGCCCCGAGCTCTGCCTTTAAGTTCTGGGACTCTGGGGCCAGTGGTGAGCAGGTCAACTCTGAAAAAACAAGAAGGCAAGTCTCCTGAAAATCCTGGACTGTGGAAAAGAAAAAACAAATCGCAATTTCCAAATAGTACTTTGTGAAAGGATGATATAGTGCTTAAATGGCCAAGCTTGGAGTTAGATTAAGTAATTATAACTTGGACTAATTGTATGTTGTTGTTAAGTGCCATCGAGTCGGTTCCGACCCATAGCGACCCTGTACAGGGTTTCCGAGGGTATAAATCTTTACGGGAGTAGAAAGCCTCATCTTTCTCCCGCGGAGCGGCTGGTAGTTTCGAACCGCTGACCTTAAGGTTCGCAGCCCGATTCGTAACCACTACGCTACCAGAGCTCCTTGAATAATTGTATAGTCTTGGAAAAGTAACTTCACTCTTCTGTTAACCATAAATTCCTTAAGTTCTTAATATGTAAAATAAGATGGTAACAACCTACAGCTCATGGAGTTATTATGAAGATGAAAATGTCGAACACTGCCTACAGTGTGTAATACCAATAGTTATTGTTATAGTTATAATATTTAACCTGCCTCTAATTAGAATACTTATTAAAGAGTACCAGTCTCCCACATAAGGGTGGCTTAAAGACCCTAGAGGGCAGACTTCAAGTTTTCATCACCTTTGTAGCTCCAATGCTGAGCACAGGGCCTATACCATAGAAGATCTCTATGACTAACCTGGAGTCCTGGTGTGGATTGCTAACTGCAAGTTTGGTAGTTCAAACCTACCAGTCGCTCCTCGAATACCCTATTTAGGGTAGCTGTGATTCGAAAAGACTAGATGTCACTTAACAACAAAAGTTAACTAACTCACCCAAACAGAACGGTCTAGGGTACACAGCTTCATTCTTTAGGGATATATAATAGAACCAACTCTAAAGTGTATTATCAAATTGAAAACCAAAACCAAAAATAAAGACCAAGACACAAAAGTATATACGTTATGCTATTATTTGTACAGAAAAGTGGGAAAAGACACACACACATATACATGAGAGTATAGTGTACATAATGTGTGTGTATCTGCGTGCTATTCTTAAAAGTGTCTTTAGAAACATGTAGCAAGTATCTTTAGAAACATATATAAAGTTGAGAATAACTATTGTCTCTGGAAAATAGAAATGGATGGCTGAACCATATGAATGCATCACCTAGTCAACAATAAAAATTTTCAACTCATAAAAATAATGTAAAGCAGGGTTCTTAAAGCATTTTGGGCCCAAACATTTTGCACTGGATAATTCTTTGTTGAGAGAAGGGGGCTGTCCAGTACACTATAGTATGTTTAGCAATAGCCTCTGCCTTCTATCCTCTAGCACCTCCTCCTCTGATGTTGCTGTTAATTACCGTCCAGTCGGTTCTGACTCATAGTCACCTTACTTATGGTTTCCGAAGAGCATCTGGTGAGTTTCAACTGTCAACCTTGCAGTTCAAACCAATCTTTTGGTACAGTGATGTCTCCAACCACTGCCCAATATCCCCTGGGGGCAATATTGTTCCCAGTTGAAAATCACTGCAATAAGGGCCTTGAGCTACAAGAACACAAGTGCCTCTGGCAAGGGACATGTGTGGAATTCAGATCCCTCAGGAGGGAAGGGAGTAAGAGAGCCCACACTTACTGACCTCCTATTTGCAAGGCGCTGGGCTGTGGATTTTACACACAATCTTTTCCAATCAGTCTATGAGGGCAGAATTTTTTAATCCCATACTTAAGATTTATCAGGAATAAAACCGAAATCAAGAGGTATGAAATGACTATGCTCAAGGTCAAACAAAAACAAAAGTCGCAGCTAGAACTGAATTCTCTGACCACCAGGCCAGAACTCTTTCTAAAGGGTGTCTTAAAATAAGGCTTTCTTTTTCCAAATCCAACACTCAGAATAATTGACTTTTGGTTTGTAACACTGCATGCAGCCTGGACCAGTAAGACCATAATAACAGCTTTAAGGAGATTGGTAAGAAAAGATGTACAAAGATTTGACAATAGGGCATGGCTGAAAGAAAGTGGGAGGGAAGTCTAGTCATTACAGGTCTCTAAGCCTTAGTTTCTGTATCCCTAATATAAGAACCAGGAGTCCTGGTGTGGTCCTGTAGGATAAGCACAGGACCAAAAGGTCGGTTTGAACCACAAGGTCGGCAGTTCAAACTCACCAGTAGCTCCTCAGAAAGCCTACACTAGGTTGAGTCGGAACCGACTCAACGGCAATTACAACAACAACAGCTGGTTTCTACTTAGGAATGCTGAAAGACCATGGGTTATTTCTAAACCCACTATTCTAAATATAGTCCCATAATGTATCAAGTACTGGACCACAATGTCAGTTTGAACCACAAGGGGGGCAGTTCAAACTCACCAGCTGCTCCTCAAAAACCCTATGCAGGGATGCTATGAGTTGGAATCGATTCGGCAGCACTTAACAAGTTGGAATGCTGAAAGACTAATGGGTTATTTCTAAACCTGCTATTCAAATACAGTCCAGTAATATTACCCTGTAAGCTTTTTAGAAGGGAGTAAACTGGTAGTGCTGGTCCCCTCAGCTGCTGGTGGTACGTCTGATCCAGGACTGCCATTTTCCACTGTCCCCAAGGTGGCCTCAGGCTGCACACTCCTCTTGACGACTGGCGTTGTTGTGACTGCTGGACCATGGTTTCCAGAAGCTTCACTGACCAAAAAATGAGCATCTGAGATGATGACTTCCTCCCATTCGTTCTCCTCATCCACTTCTCTTAGAGGAGCGACACTTAGGAGCTGGCTTATAGCTGCCGAGTTCTCCAGCGTCAGTTTGGAGGCAGTCTCCTGAGGGGAATTCTGCTTGGAAGTGACAGGCTGTTGACTTCTTTTAACAACAGAGCCTCTGGAGGAAACACCAGAAGTCAACTCCACTCTGACTTTGCCCGGCTTCTCCTAGAAAAAAGAAGGATATCTATATGCATATGGCATTTTACAGTTGGCAATATGTTCACAAATACGCACTTGTTTGATCCTCATAGCAATAATGTATGGAAAACAAATAGGAAAACTGGGTCCAAAAGACAGGAAGAGGCTAACTTATGATCCCAAGTACCAAAACTCATTTGGATCTAATCTTTCAACTTTTAGGCCCCTTTCAGTCATAGCATAAAACACAGGGTGTAGGACACAACTCTTTTTCCTAATAAGTTCATTATTGATAGGCTTCATCAAGTTTCATCAAATAAATGCAGGCATTTTTCATTTTGACTTTTAATCGTTCAAACCTATTTCACAGTATCTGAGTGCTGGTGTGGCACTGTGGGCCAATGCGTCAGACTGCAAAGTCATGTGAACTGCAAGGTCAGTGGTTCAAGCTCACCAGCTTCTCCTTGGAAACTCTATACAGGGTTACTATGGGTAGGAATCGACTTGACGGCACTTCACAACATTTCTCTATATCAGGAAAGAAGTTGACACATTGCCATATGGGCCTAAAAATCCTAAACTGTTTACCTTGGTGGTCCATTCTTAAGATTTAAGCCCAATCTTACATTTATAGATTCAAAGTCTCCAACCCCCTTGGAGAAAACCCTATCTGTACAGTGCCAGATTCCTTTAAGTAGGTCTTAAGACTGACAACACATATGCCACAAATTTCTCAGTGGAGCATACTAACTCATCATACACATTAACTACAAACTAGAAAACACTCAAACTTGCTATAAATGACAACTGCATCCTGGTATGGCACTGTGGGTTAATGCACTGGACTGCAAAGTCTGTTTGAACCATAAAACTGGTGGTTCAAGCTCACCAGTTTCCTCGGATACCCTGTACAGGGTCACTATGGGACGGAATTGACACAATGGCACTTTAACATCACAGATCTACTTTCAAAATTGCTTTAACTTTCATCCCATCAGCACTACTGTGGAAATAATTGTATTTAAGGAGCTCTGGTAGCGTAGTGGTTACGAATCGGGCTGCGAACCTTAAGGTTAGCGGTTTGAAACTACCAGCTGCTCCGCGGGAGAAAGATGAGGCTTTCTACTCCCGTAAAGATTTACACCCTCGGAAACCCTGTACAGGGTCGCTATGGGTCGGAACCGACTTGACAGCACTTAACAACAACAACAATTATTTATATACACACACAGTCTTACAGAAAGGTTTCTTCGACCTTATGTATAGTGAAAGGCACAGCAAAATAGTAGCTATAAAAGCTGAATTTTATCTAGGCTCAAGGAGCCATGGTGGCACTGTGGGTTAAGTATTGGCTGCTAACCAAAAGGTCAGTGGTTCAAACTCTCCAGCAGCTCCACAGGAGAAAGACAGTCTGCACCTGTAAACATTTCTGCACTCAGAAGCCCCGGGGAGCAGATCTACTCTGTTGTATAGAGTAGCGACTCAATGGCAGAAGGCATTATTTTGACTTTTAATTGTTATCTAGTCTCAGCTCCACTCTTAGTTTTGTCATCACTTCCCATTATGAAATAATAGGCTGAGAGCCTATAGCATAACTTCAGTAGCCAAATTCTTCACTCTGTAGGGTTTCTTCCCAGCATGGTGGCAAATCTAAGCATCTGTGGTCAATGTTAATAAATGTCAATAGCATCTCCTGGTTACTGACTACCCAAAATTCTTAGCTATTTCTAAAGCACCCCCTGGCAGAGCATGGATCCTGATAAGAACCAGTAATAGATGACCTAAGATTTTCAGACAGCATCCTCATATTCTAATACATACTGGCTTATGGGGACATGAGGAAACATGGAGAAAATTTTTAAGCATATTGTACAGAGTGTATTTATCACAGGAGAGAGAAAAACAACAGATGAACTAAACTAATCCCTGAGATGAGATTTTTTGAGCAAAACACTGCCTTTTAAGTAGGCTCACTGAGATAAAAACCATTTGTAGGAAGACTGGATAATTTTAACAACTGCAATAAAAAACACTCCCTGCTGATACCGCATTGCTGTAACTCGGCCTACCCTTTTTAGATATTGCTTTCTTTCAAGGTGGAAGGCAAATACTGTCAGGTTCTGCCTGCTCAGAGAGACCTCAATTATTCCCATCAGAGATGCCAGAAGAGTTTTGCACTAAAGAGCCTTCTACACCACTTTCTGTTTCATGCAACTCATTGAGAACCAGGTCACATGTTTCAGGGGGCCAATTTTAGCCACTGTCAACTTTACAACAATACACGAAAGGGTGAATCGCTTTCTGACTGGCGGAAATGCATCTGGAGATTTAAATGTGTTTAAAGCTATTTAAAACTATTTAATACTGGCTGCTTCAAAAATCAGAATTCATGACATCTTAAAAGACTATTTAAATAACATAGCAATGCCCGAGAACTGTGGCGTAGTAGAAAAGGCAATGGTGCGATGTGAACTTAGCAAGTTACTTCTCTTGAATCTATTTTTGTCTCAGCTGAAAACTTCAAGAGTGGAAATAGATGGTAACAGAGGGCACTTTTATCTCTACAATTCTAAGTACACTGATACAAAAATTATTCCTTGTTTTCCTCATATTCATTGTGTTATGAAATTTAAAAATCACATGATCTACTCTTTAGCTGGTAATTCTTGTTTAAAAAAAAAAAAAGTGGCAAAAGAAGAAAAATAACCCTGGTTCATAACAGGGGGTGGGGTGGTCCAGTGAGAATATTAAATGAAAAAGAAACTAAGATCAAAGTGAAAGCAACCTGAAAGAAAGAGAAACCCATCAGGAATTTTACACATGCTTTAGCATAAGATATAAAGTTATGTGACACACCTATTGCACACCGATTGTGTACAGATGCAGGAAGCTACTACTATTCAATTTCCCACTGGACACCTGATATGGCACTGTAGGATCAGCACAGAACTGCTAATTTCAAGGTCAGCGGTTCAAATCCACAAGCCGTTCGGTGGAAACCCTATAAAGGGTCAATATGCTATGAGTCAGAAACGACTCGATGGCACTTAACAACAACTGTAGCCTGGAGTGATTTTTTTTTTTTGAGAATTGAGGTCGGAATAAGTTGAATGGTGCATCAGACATCAGAGAAAATAGACATAAGAAACCTGAAAAAACTCAACAGAGTCCTGGTGTGGGGCTGTAGGATAAGCATTGGACTGCGAACCACAAGGTCAGAGGTTCAAACCCATCAGCCACTCCTCAGAAACCCTATGCAGGGTTGTTATTAGTCTGAAATGGCTTGAAGTTAACAATAGGAGACATGAGCACTAGGTCTTTACTGACCCATGAAAAGAATGCCCAAACTTGTAGAGAGTACCCATAACACTAATAGCAACTATATGAGGGCAGGTCAAAAAGTATTAGTATAAAATTACAGAAAGCATTAGTTAAAAAATATATCAAAATGTGAAACTATGTAAGCCCATCTTCAGCCTAAAACTGACTGGAATAGCTAAAATGGGTTCTACACTTATCCAGTGAAGTAGGCTTCTTGCAGAGCCTTTGAAGTGTATAGGACCTTAGGTGAAATCCTGAGCCCCATCCAGAACCTTCTGAGGTGGGACATTTCCACTGGAAAGGACATGCAGACTAGCCCAGAGCAGCTAGAGGAACAGAAGATACTTCTTGAAAGAAAGACCATGAAACCAAAAAAAAAAAAAACCCAGTCTGTTTTGCTATAATAAGAACAAGTAAGCTATTCACTGGGAAGCCATCAAGTCCCTTCAGGACATACCCCTCTCCAAGACTGAAACTCTAAGGGAGCACACGAGCAGGCATGTAAGCTTGCTGGCGATCGTGTTGGTCTACATGTGAGTGCAAGTGGGGGAAATGCAGCAATGAAGATACAGGATGAGTTTGACCATGTTCAATAGACTCCTGTAAACCTTAAGATGAGAGAGAGAAGAGGAAGGGCTGGTTGGTCTGAAGTTTGGGGAGACCTAGCGACTCCACAGCCATGGAGGACTACAGCTGAGAGTGAAGCATCTAGCTGATATGAAGTGAGGGGAGACACACAAGAATGCCCAAACTTGTAGAGAGTACCCATTTGACCTAGCTTCAATAGCTTGATTGGAACTTGACTAGAGGAAGATTTAAAAAAAGGTCTTTTTTAATAAAGGAAACAAGCGTAAATTGCTACAACTTGATGAACCTGATCTATTCTTATGATTGTACTAGCTCAAAATACCAATCAAGAGGGAAGGAGGCTTCACATCAAGGATCAAACCTATCCCCTCTGTACACAGGGTTGATAGGGATGGACAACTTAGACACTGACTACCTAAAATGGGATGGGGAGGGTGCTATAAAGGCACAAAGTGGCTGGCTTACAAGTTTTCAAGAGGGAGTTTAGTTTCAGAGTGTGCAGGAGAAGGCAAAATTCCCACTGAATAGTTTTCATTGTGCCTAGATGAGTCTGGTGAAAGGAGATGGGGATTGGGTTCTTTTGATTCAACAGTAATTGTTATTATGATTAATTGAAATCATCACAACTGTAAAAGTGTAAGTGTCCAACAAAAAAGGGGTGTAGTTCATCATAAATTCCAGGAACAGAGGACCCTAGAACCATCAAGAGAGAAGAGCATGAGCGGAATGTGGGACTCTATCCAGAGAAGCAATGACACCAGAGATGGGAGGCAGAGGTTATGGCATGGAGAGAAAGAGTAGCTGAGGACCCTAGACTCACGGAAAGAGAAGAGCTGTGTGTTGGCGGCCAGGAGGCTAGCTTCCAGAATGTGCCCTTTGGTTGTTTAAACCATTATATATATTGCTACATGCTTTTTTTTTTTCCTTCTTCCAAAAAAAAGGGGTTTTCTTGATAAAAGAAACAATCTATGATGGTTATGGGGGAGGAGGAAATGATTCATGAGCTAGAAGGTAGACATGCATTGACATGGGTGACAGGACAGGCAATATACAATCAGAGAGAGGTTGGCACAGGAAAAATGGGGGTGGCGGGAGACACATGGAGGAATGCAGTAGTT